GACACAAGTAATCTCCAGTGGCAATACAAGTGGCACTGGCTGAAGTGGCGCTGGCACTGGCGCTGGCACTGGCTCGGGTAGAAGTCACGGTACTGACAGAAGCAGAACTAATCAAGTCTCCCGATGAGTTGTAGATGTTCCCCTCCTCGTCATAATAAGTACCATCGCCAACTGGACACAAATTATCTCCCGAAGCAACACAAGTGGCGGTAGCAGAAGCAGCAGTCCCAGTGGCGGTGGCAGTGGCAGTGGCAGTGGCAGTAGTTGTTGCAGCACTGATCAACAGACCAAGAGAGTTGTAGATATCTCCTTCGCCATCAGTATATGTCCCATCACCAACTGGACACAAGTTCTCGCTCGAAGGAATACAAGTGCTCGACGACCCAGCTGCAGAAGAGGTGGCAGAAGACGCGGTGTCGGCAGAATCAGAACCACTGGTCTCAAATTGATCTGCCAATGCGGCAATCGCTCCACCAGCAACCGCCACTTCCCCAACATTCTTAACCCCATTCAATACTTTACCACCTGCAGAAGCTTTGGTGGTGGTCTCTGGCTTTACAGCACTCTCTGACGCTTTGGCAATGGCCTCATCAGTGGTCGTTGGCTTTGCAACACTCTCTGATGCTTTGGCAATGGCCTCACCAGTGGTCGTTGGCTTTACAACACTCTCTGACGCTTTGGCAATGGCCTCACCAGTGGTCGTTGGCTTTGCAACACTCTCTGATGCTTTGGCAATGGCCTCGCCAGTGGTCGCTGGCTTTACAGCATCGTCTGATGCCTTGGCAATCACTTTGGCGGTAGTGGCTGGTTTTATGGCCGCCTCCGAAGCCTCGGCGACCACTTTGGCGGTAGTAACTTTGGCAGGTTTGATGCCTTCTTCGGCAGCAGATTTCGCCTCGGAACTCCCTCCTTCAGATAACTCCAGAATTTCTTCTGATTCGCCTTTGGTCCCACTACTGGTGTGTTTTGTTGATTTAAGCAATAAAGGCTCTCTTTTGTCAAAGATTTCTTCGGCAACCGGTTGATTTTCCACTTCACGGGCCTTCAAACCAACACCTGCCTCATCTCTGTTCACTGGCTGGAGCGGATAAGAATGGGCAATTGCGCAAACGACAGCGAGCTTGAATGCAACTTGAAGACGCATTTAGATTGATTATATATAATGATGGGTTGTTGTTGTTGTTGTTGTTGGATAACTAACTGAATAATCAGTATTAGTGATGATGATATAGGTAATAATATTCCATTGTTCAGAATAAAATAAAACAAAGAGAGTCGAGAACTATTGTAATTTATATATACGCAAAGTGTTGCAAAGGACTGGGGTAAGGATCATGACAATCTATATAACGTGTTCCTCCTTTACCTTGGAGTCTCCAATGTGACTTTTTCATGGTGATTATATTTTCTGCAGGCGAAAAAAGACCTCGGGAATCGTTACTCAGTAGAAACATACAATTGTATTGTATTACACCCATCATTAATGATTTACTGTCACAAAGCTTCTTCCGTATCTTGGAATTTTACATATCTACTGTCATAAAACAAATGAGTTATTCGACCTTCAAATCGACCATTGATTGGTATTAATCATTTTCTATTACCATACCAATGGCTCCAACAATAAATATATATATATATATATATATTCACCATTACCGCTGTCCAACGAATACTGGCATATTTGTTCAGAAGTGGTAGTATTTACCTAATTTTTTTTTTAAAACCTTGCTATTTTCATGTGGTTCATAGACGTTATTGATTGGACTCGTTTCTATCGATCGATCCCACTTCGGCGTATCGTTAGCGGTGAAACACCCATCGATCGCACATGTGCAGATCGGGGGCTTGTCCTGGTGGTACGGGAATAGGCACTTAGTTGTTTACAATCAAATACGAGCAATTGTAATCTCTTTCTCTGTATACACATATATATCTATATCTATATATATATATCTATCTCTCTCTCTCTCTCTCTCTCTATTTAGAACCATCATCATGCCAAATAACAACAGAGCAATATCCCCCACAATTTTTTTTCTTTGCTCAATATTGACCGTATCGGCATCTAAAAATGGCCGGAGTCCCGGAGTCCCGGCCATTTTTGTTCTACTTTCAAACCGGATTATTCTATAATATATATATACCCCCTCAATTTTTTTTTTTTTTTTTTTTTCCTTTATCTCTTCTCTTGCTCTTTTTTATAGATTATTCCTTGGAAAGTGGTCATAACATCCTTCTTCTTCTTCTTTTTCTTCTTCATTTCCCGTAATCTTTGATCCCACCGGTTATTCACGTACAGTTAGTTGGCTTGCATGAAACCTCATCACACCGCCTGGCGTGGGGGGAGGGGGTCCCCAACATGAATATACAATATATTACCATTGCCCAATTAACAAGCGTTTCAATCAATCAATATGAAAATAATAATAAACCGTTGGTAATACTTACTGGGCAGAAGTCTGGTGTAGATATGGGTTGGGAGAGAGAGAAAGACAGACAAATGGCCACTTCCCTAACCGTTGCCATGCAGCAGTAACATGAACCTGTCATGTCTTGTCTCTCTCGACGTCATATATATAAAACTCCATTAATTTTCCCAGGGGGGGGGAGGGGGGAGATTGTTTTTTTTTTTTTTTTTTGCTTCAATGTTTGGAAATCCCCTTGAAATAAACCAACCAACCAACGTAATGTTAATTTATCTTAATCCCGATGAATAATTTGAGCCAATTATGCACATATATATATATATATATATTACATACACACCTACACTGATAAGAATAAGGAAAAAATATTGGCAGAACACATGGGTTCTAACAAGAAAAAAATATTCTTGAGCTGGATAGCTCAAGAATACGTTATTCGACCTCGGTGAGGATCGAACTCACGATCTTGCGATTAACAGTCGCACGCCTTAACCAGCTTGGCCACGAAGTCCGATGTTTGCTTGCAAAATAGTAGTTGATCTGACCGGTTCTAATTCGTGTGGAAAAATTTTTTTACCGATGATGTGATTAATTCTTAAAGCAAGGAGTGTGAGGTTGTGAGAAAGTTATAGTATTATACTTATCTATTAGAAATACCGGCATGAAATGCCCGGCTTCCATGTTATTTAGAACCTCTGTGACTCGTTAATATACAATTCATTCATTCATTCATTTTTTTACCTCAACCACTAAAAGAATACAAAGAAGTAGGGAACAACTCAAAATGTGGATAACTTATTTGAATGAAGTGGTGGCAATGAAGGAGGTTGATTAACAAAAAAAAAAAAAAATTGATGCCTAGTTTCCCAGTTAATAGTATTTGGTTTATTTTTTACTTGGTTTTTATTAATTTACTATTATTATTTTATTGATTTTTCTTAATTTGATTTATGGGTTTGTGTTATGGAAATCAAAGATGTGTGGTGCCATCTGAGATAAAACCATAGCACTGGTCTATTTGATTTTGTTGATTTTGATTTTGATTTTGATTTTGACTTTGAATTTGACAACATTCCACAAAGGCTTCACATTATTATCTCTCACTAATAATTGAGGCAAAGAAATGGAATGTGAGTTAAAGTGTTCAGTTGGTATATTGATTTATGGAATCAGGATATGTGTCGGGACTTAAAAAGTGTGTGGTGACACTTAAGACAGACCCATGGTACTGGTTCTTATTTAGTTTATTTGGTTTATTTGGTTTATTTGGTTTATTTGGTTTACTTGGTTATTTTGACTTATTTGAATCATTTGGTCTATTTGATTATTTGAATTATTTTTTACTTGGATCTAATCATTCTATTGATTTTTATTATTTTTATCTTTATTATCCCCCCAGAATTCTGATGGTCACTACATTGAGAATAATATACTTAGTATTTGAGATATAGTACTAAAACCAGCACAAAATGCCCGGTTTGCATGTTATTTAGAATCACGTATTGATTCAGCAATGAATAAAAAATATATGATGTAAATTCCATAAATGGAAAAAAAATATTCTTGAGCTGGATAGCTCAGAATACGTTATACGACCTCGGTGAGGATCGAACTCACGATCTTGCGATTAACAGTCGCACGCCTTAACCAGCTTGGCCACGAAGTCTGATGTTTGCTTCCAAAATAGTAGTTGATGTAACCGGCTCTAATTCATGTGAAAAAATTTTGTTGAGGTTGAGAGAAAGTTATAGTATTTTACTTACCTATTAGAAAGACCGGCATGAAATGCCCGGCTTGCATGTTATTTAGAACCTCTGTGACTCGTTAATATACAATTCATTCATTCATTCATTCATTGTTGATTCAATGATCTTCTTGCTTGAAAGCAATATCTTTTAAGCGGAGAAGAAAAAATAGGTGGGGAAAAACAAGAAAATAAAATAAAAAAAAAAAAAATAAAATCAAAAAAAACAACAACAATTAAAACCTTAAAAACGCATAAAAACATTTTTCTCAATAATAGGGTTTTCACCATTAATGGTTTTCCTTAACACTTTAATTTTCAAACTACATTAAGTAGTTTATGAGATATATAGTTATATAATTAATTAATATATTGAATTTTGTCTTTAAAAAAAATTTTCAAACTACATTAAGTAGTTTATGAGATATATAGTTATATAATTAATTAATATATTGAATTTTGTCTTTAAAAAAAAATTTTAATTTTCAAACTACATTTGGTAGTTTATGAGATATATAGTTATATAATTAATTAATATATTGAATTTTGTCTTTAAAAAAAAAAAAAAATTTTTTTTTCACAAAATCGTTAATAAAATCCTCATATATTCATCAATGATATTTAAATATATATTATATTTGAATTTAGGCATCAATTCATGCAAATTCACCCACAAGTCTGTGGAAAAGTGTATTATTTTTGCCGTTTTATCAGAATTATATAGAGACCTCTATCATTTCACTCAGCAAATCTAAAAACGTTAATATACAATTCATTCATTCACGCGTTCATTCACTCAAACCTTACTACAAATTATAACTAAAATATAGGTTTTTCATCATATATATGGTTTTCCCTAATATGAAAACATGAGCAACAGCTTATAAGATTTTATATCGACATGTGTATATTTATTAATAAATCGAAAAAAAAAAAAAAAAAAGAAAAAAAAAGCAACTTTATTATCATTGTCAACATTCAATTATATGTTATTATCTAATTCTTTTGCTATTTATTATCTTGATTACTTATCATTGTCTATTATTGGGTCTAAACACGCTACGGCTATTCTATTCACTATAAAAAAAGACTTCAAGCTTCCCGTTCCTATATACGATCGGGAAAATTATATATATATATATATATATATATATTAGGAAAAAAAGAACATCATTATCGGTGATAAAATTTCTCACAGATGATTACGATAACTAATAATCACTATCAATAATAAGTCTATATATGGGACTTATTGTCTTCTACTTAATCCAGATATTATTCAGATTGGAGATAGTTGAAAGTTCATTACTACATTTTCCAACAACCTCATATATGGTGAGGAGTATGGCATGTGCTTAACACGATTCAGTTCAAATTAATTTAAGAGCTTTGTAAATCACTGGGACAACTACGCTAGCTTTGGGGAAATATACCCCAAATAAATACCCACAGGAATGGTATAACCAGGCGTCCACGCGGTTACCAAAAAACAGCCTGCTTTCTCGCGCTGTGGAATCCTTTATTGCCTGGAAAATATTCAAGAATCACAACGGTTATGCCCGAGACGGGTGGGTTTTTGATGGATTTGGGATAGCTACTGGGTGAAATTAGAGATGGCTCTTTTTTTTCTTTTTCTTTTTATTCTTTTGACCAGTGTTGTGTTCTTTTTTTAGATTTTACCGAGGAAAATTTTCCTCTGCACTGCTTACGGGCTACGTTTAGACGAGAAGGGTCCGTCACCATGCAGGCAGGCTGCCCCCTCCAAGTATATAAAGCTGTCTTTCGATCCTCAAAATTACCATCATATATTATTCTATTCTATTCTATCATCAATCAAACAAAACAAAAAACATATTTACTGTTTTACTCACTCTCCTATATCTAATTATAATAATAATAATAATATTTTTCCACAATGAAGTACACTCTCGCTACCGCTGCTATCGTTGGTTCTGCCATCGCTGCTTACGTTCCTTCTGAACCATGGTCTACTTTGACTCCAAGTGCTATGGTCTCTGGTGGTACTACTGATTACGACGGTACCTTCGGTATCGCTGTTGTTCCAGTCACTGCCGCTTCCTCTTCTGTTGCTAAGAGAGATGTTGTCTCCCAAATTGGTGATGGCCAAATCCAAGCTACCACTGCCACCACTACCACTCACGCCCAAGCCATTTCCCAAATAGGTGACGGTCAAATCCAAGCTTCTACTTCTACTGCTCCAGTTACTACTGTTCAACCAATCTCTCAAATCGGTGACGGTCAAATCCAAGCCACTACCACCACCCACGCTCAAGCCATTTCTCAAATCGGCGACGGTCAAATCCAAGCCACCACTCTTACCACCAACGTTGCTTCTCAAATTACTGACGGTCAAATCCAAGCCACTTCTACTGCTTCTGTTAACGCTAGTGTTGCCGCCGAAAACACTAAGGATGGTATTACTGCCGTTGCCTGTAAAGTCGATGGTACTTTGCAAATGACTTTGGAAAAATCTATCTTGAAGGATGGTAAGGGTAGAATCGGTTCTATCGTCGCTAACAGACAATTCCAATTCGATGGTCCACCACCACAAGCCGGTGCTCTCTACGCTGCCGGTTGGTCTATCTACAATGGTAACTTGGCCATCGGTGAAACCACCACTTTCTACCAATGTTTGTCCGGTACTTTCTACAACTTGTACGATGAATCTTTGGGTGCTCAATGTAAACCAGTTTACTTGGAAGTCACTTCTTTGGTCGATTGTTAAAAGAAAATTTCTTTTTCAATTTCAATTCCAATGTTTTCTTTTCTTCATTCTTCGATCTTCCAAATAATGACCTGCATTTTTTAATCTCGTTTTCACATCTCAACTTCATCATTATCATCATATTGTTGCATCAAATTTATTACTGCATTAGCATTGCTTGTTTTCCTCATCTGCATTATCCATCACCATTATTCTTGGTCATTGGCTGGACTTTTTCCTTTCTTCTGCTCTGTATTTTTAGTTTTATTTTTTCTAGCATTTTATCATAATTCATCGCTGCATTTCTGAATAAACTTAATTTTATAATATATACATATTCCTCACTCGTAGATGTTTTATATCATACATTTTCAAAAACAACAACAACAACAACAACAACAACAACAACAACAGCAATACATTATTACCTAACTGATTATTTAATACTATTTCTATCATACCTTCAATAATTGGGTTAATGTTTTGTATATTTTTGGCTTATCATTAATGGTTCTCTTTCAACTATTTACCATTACTGTGGCATTTTTTCAGAACCGTTGAGCCGCCCTTCCAAATTATTACTGGCATCTCTGTATGGGTATCTAACTGTATGAAGTTTCTTTGGAGTTGCTGATAATTATTCATCAATAATTACTACGACTGAGTTTCAAATAGTGGTAATATGTCCTGATAGGATTAATACATTAACGTATTCGCTAGAGAAGGAGAGATCATAACTACGTGTTCACTGATATATATGAAGGAAGAACAAAAAATCGAACAAGTTAATGCCATTGTTCTATGAGAACCATATATTTGGTTGTAATCACAATGATATATTTCCTACAATCCGGAAAGCAATTCCCTAATACACGATCATTATTAAACAAACTAAAACAAAAAACGGCTAACATGTTATGGATCTAAAAATAACAAAACAGCGATGATAAATAATAACATAAATAATATATATATATAATGCAAAAACAGACGAAGGAATTAAGGAAAACTGCAAAACAAATGAAGAAAAAAAAAGTGATAATAATTATAAAGGATTCATAAATTTCCATTTTCCCACCGCAGAAACCGAAATGTGACTGTTACATTCAAATAACAGAAGGAAACAAAACAACAACAACAATAATGTGATAAAAGTTTCATATGATTGAGGTGTTTACGTAAACGTTATCATAATTGGTAGTGATGATATAAAATACAAAGATTTTTTTTTTTCCTCCCTCTCCCCCCAACTTGTGAAGATATATCTAATTCAATGGCCAATCAGGGACTTCATGAGCGTGGCTACTGAGACAGGTTTTAAATTGGCTTTGTGATAAGAAGAGAGTCCAATTTCTACCATTGGACGAGGTTTCCAGTGTTCATCTTCGTTGGAATTCGCAACCATATCCAATGAAGTCACCTCACCTTCTAAATGTTGATGATGATGATGAGATGGAGGAGGAGGAGGATTATCAACTTCAGGTAGGTTGTACTCAGAGAGTGAATGTGTGTCGTCGACCAATGTCATTTCTTGGTCAGGTTTCTCGATCTTCTCATCGAAAACAAAATTGATCGGTGAAAATTCCACATCAGGCAATAATTTATACTTATCTCCCCTGGAGATCTCGAGTAAACTTTCAGGGATTTTTTTCCCCTTGCCCGCCATGGAACTACCCGCAATTTCTCGTAAACTTGGGTTCAAACTGAATAAACTCTGTTGTGATGATGCCCCTTGCTTCGCGGTGGTGGCAGATATCGACCCGGAAATCGACAGCGAGGAACGATGACCAGTGGTAAATGATGAAGTGGAGGATTTATCTAGTGGTCGAAGACTAGCCAAGCTGCGAGTGGTGGTAAGCGATTTCCCCGTTGGTAATGGGACAACCGCCATTCCATTGCAGTGATCTGGCAAATGGATCAGGTTATTACTCCCAAGCGAGCGAGTTTGACAATGTGTGGTGGTATTCTTTGGGTCGGTGCTACACGACGATGCCGCTGCTGCAGCCACAAGAATCTGGTTCTTCATCTTGATATCCTCGTAGGTGGAGTTGAATCTTTGGTGTTTGACCCTAAGAGCCTTGACATCACTTGTCTGGGAAGTTTCTCCAATACTGAGTTTTTTGAATGCGTCGTTGGCAGCAGTACTGGAGGCGCTTGGAGACGCTGGGTTGGCGTAAGTTTCGGAGGGGCCACCATCGGATTGAAGCCCAAACATTTTTTCCAATAATTGGTTGAATTCTCCGGTTGAACCTACCGAGTCCAAAGTGAATGCTGCCCCCTCACTGTTGCTTTTCAAGTGAGATCTTCTATTAGTATCGGTATTAGCCCACGGAGACACCGTTTTTTGGGAAAAAGTGTCGAAATCAAGGCTCATTGAAGGGTTATGGGTAAATGTAGTGGTTTGTTGGTTACTATTTGTTTGAGGGGTCAATGACGTTGGGGAAATATCTTGATGGCGAAGATGATGATAAGGGGAGTTGGTGAATGGGTCCAAGGTTCTTTGGGTATAAGAATATTGTAGTTCTTTAGGAGACGACAGAGTGGTGCTAAATGTCTGAGGTGCGAGAGGAAGTACCTTTGGGGCGTCAACGCTAGCGATTGTATTATTGTCAGAAGAGTTCAAGTTTAGAGTTTGAGCCCAAAGGTTTGTTGAACCAACACTCGAGATGGTTTCTGATCTTCGTTTCAAAAAAGATTCATCAACACTGTCTCTTCCAAGTTTGCCGATAAAAGAGTCTATGGCCGAGGTGGCAGATATTGGAGGACTCATAGGTCTTCCGATACCTTTCACCGTGAATTCCAGAAGATCAAGCTTGATAGGAGAGCTTATGAATTTATTAGTATTGTTGTTGGAAGGCGAGGCCACGACATTCAGCTTCTTGCTGGTGACCTCGGTCATTTTGGTGGCATCGATCATATTGGAGGTATCAGGGATAGTAAAATTTAACCGAAGATGGTCGTCTCCGGAAAGTTGTCCTCCTAATAGATCCAGCTTTGAAGGGCTCTTGAATGCTCTAGTGAGTTGATCTTGCACCTGGGAGTCTTCGATGTTTGCAAGAGTTTGGGGAGCACCAATGCTCAGCTTGCGGATCACAGTACGGTTCTTTTGACGAGCATTTTTGTGCTGATGCTTTGGCCGCTTGAGAGACGTTTTTCTTGGAAGCGATAGGATTTGGGCGACATCTTGCTTTCGCTTTGGTTTTGTCTGGACATTATTACCAGAAGGTTGTTGTTGTTGTTGGTGGTGGTGTTTTGATCTGAAAAAGGAAAACATATTATTATAACAATAACAAAAAAAAAAAAAAAAAAATTAGAATTGATGGGATAGTAAATTAGGGAAATCGAATCTGGAAATGTAACAGCTATGGCTGATGTGCTGATTTAAAATTCTTGATAATAATATAGCGATCCTTGTAAAATTACTGGAAAAAGTCTGACAAAATTGTAACAATAGTATGACTATTACCAACACTGGTACCTTTTCAATATGGTTTTTGGAAATAACAAGATGTTGAGCATTAACACCATGGCAGAAACAAAAAAAAAAAAGTAAAAAATAAAAATGGAAATCTGGCACAAAAAAAAAAACGTCAAAGAACCGCAGTAAAGACGTTGGTTTCAAGGAGTTATGGCACTAACGACTAACATTAGGAGAGACGGGGGGAAGACCCCCTCCCCCCCCTGTTCGTAACTCTGGGAGATGCGTAAAAGGGGCTTTCTCTCTCAGCGCGCGACTGCTACGTCAGAAGTCACACTTTATTACATAATCAAACTTTACATCATCCATTACATAAGCACAGAAAAGGCCTGGTGTGCTGGTACCCCCTGTATGCAGTTATGTGCCCCTTAAGTTGCAGGTGAGACGTTTTTTTTTTTTTTTATTTTGGGAAGTTAGCTGATGATGCCGGAGTAGTAAGTTTACGGTCGATACTGGTTTGAAGCGTATCGAATAGTAATCAAGTATCTCCTATCTATCTCTATATATACATACAGACAAATGTTGGCCGTCCAAAGATCATTTGCTAGAAGTTTTGCTAGAGGTATTGTCCCAAGATGCGGGTTGCACACCGCCAGTGTTTTCTACAACCAAGGGGCATCCCAGCCAAAACTTGCTGTTCAACAAAATCCGGCCAAGATCTACGATTTTAGTGAGATCAAGAAACTCTTGGAATCTGGGGCCACTGACTCGGTGTTGATTGATGTTCGTGAACCAGCCGAACTTCAACAACAAGGGTTTATTCCAACCGCCATCAACATCCCATTCAAGTCGGCGCCAGGGGCGTTGAACTTGCCAGAGGACGAGTTCGAGGATGTTTTCCGTTTCGGCAAGCCAGCAAAGGACAAGGAAGTGATTTTCTATTGTCATTCTGGTGTGAGATCTTCTGCTGCCGAAGAGTTGGCAGGGACTTTTGGGTACGAGAAGCGCGGAAATTATGTCGGGTCATTTTCTGACTGGGTGGCACAAGGGGGTAAAATTGAAAAGAAATAGATGAATATCATTTCCATTTCTATTTTTTTTTTTTTTTTTTGTATTCATTTAGTATATCATTCTCGGATTATTTTATTTTTAATTTAGTAGTAGTGATAGTGTCCTCCTGTTAATCTAGTTGTTATTGTCCTCCTGTTAATCTAGTTGTTATTGTCCTCCTGTTGCATAGTTTTGAATTAATTTTTAATTTATTTTCATCTCATATTGAAAAAAAAAAAAAATATATATATTTTTTTGTTCGCCAATTTATCGAGGAATTTTGCCACGTAAACAAAAGTTTTTGATATTTTTAATGTTCACGGATGTTAATAGATAATTGTGATTGTTGTTGGATTTGTTATTGTATATATGTCTGTTTCTGTCAATATATATGTACAAGGATGGGTGGGTGATTGATTGGATCAACATTCGCGACATGGATGATAATTAATCTATCTGGAAACCCCGTTGGTTTGATGAGATCATACACCATGAACTTGCCTTTGCCATTAGGGTTTCTCTATTGTCAATGACTTATTTACCCTTGTGGATTATCAGCTACTTGTGATCTGCCACCTTGGATGAGCCAACCAGACGGATTTATCTGTATCGGTATCACCAGGCAGATATCAATCATGGCAGATGGCGATAATGATGTGTGTGTGATCAGAAGAACAGTATGTACTGGCAATGTAATGTCCCAATAATATAGTAGTACGATAATTGTACAATAAAATGCGATATGGATATATATATATATATAGAGCTAATAGTGTCAAAAAGATAAAGAAGTAAGCGTCACATGTCAGGCTATTGTCCGGGCAACGCAGCTTTTTTTTTTTTTTTTTTTGGCGGGTTCTCTTTTCCCTCAGCGCTTAACGCTGATTTTTTTTTTTTCTTCCGCTTGTTCTTCATATCTTCCAGGGAATCAATCATCTCTTCTGCTATATCTTGTTCTTCCTTTTCTTCCTCTTATAACACCAATTCATATCCGATTTTGTTGTACTTACTTGCAATCTCTTCCTTTGTCACTCGCTTTCCCTGCTCTTGCTATCTGTCTCCCAACGTTGTTGCCAATTGTCAAGTTTGTTAGATCAACCGATCCCAATTGCTTTCCGAATTACTCAACAACAACAGATATAAACACCTACAAGAAAATCCTGATTTTCCAGTACTGTCAATCTCGGTGCTTACAGGAATCATTTGATTTTCAATCTTTTATTTCTTTCCTCTTTTTCGTGGGTCCAGTGATTTGCTCATCTTGGTGGTATTTATAGAACACTGCCATCTATCATATCATCATTGCTGGCACATTTTTTACGATTGTCGCAATTGCTATTTTCTTGGTACGTATTTTTTTTTTCTCTTTTGGAAAAGCTTAATTTTTTTTTTTTCACCGCTTCGGATATATCTTTCGGAATCTCTTTTGATCTGGAAAAAAAAATATTTTGGACAAAAAAAAAAAAAAGAAAAAAAAGAAAAGAAACAACACCATTAGCAATAAAAGGAAAAAAGTGAGATTTGAGTTACTGACATATCATAGATCATTTTCCAATAGAGGACACAAATAATGGATTCTCTCAATATCCTTTTTGCCGGAACCTCTCCGATCCTTGCTTATTATGCTTGGAAACTTTCTACCGTGGCCAACGTGTCTCTTTTAATCCATGACAACTCTTTGGCCGCACAGATCTCTACCAACGGCATGGTTTGGGTATCTCGTGGACAAAAACACGTCTTTCGCCCGTCCAAAGTTTTTTCTTCCCTTTCCGAACTCTCTTCTAGTAATTTTGATGCTATTTTCATCTCTCTGACCTCGCTTCAACAGTTAACCACATTATGCTCACAACTCAACCCTTTGGTGGGTCCTAACACCGCATTTATTGTGGAAAGCACCGGTTATCTTCAACTTGAAAGCTACGTGGTCCTGAATCTCCAGTCTCCTCAGCATCCATCGCCAATAGTGTTCTCTATTATGTGCGAGTCCGATATCAAGCATGTGCCTAACTCCCCAATTTTCCTCCACCAACAAAAATCCACTCATGACTACATATATTTGGGAACAGCAAGAAATACCAACGACGCACCACATTCTGAAACTTCTCGGGTGCTTTTTGCAAGATTGTCGTCGTCGTTTGAAAGAGCTGATGCCCTACTCTTCAAACCTTCAACAACCCTGGAATTCTTGAATTATCAATGGAAACTCGCTTTGCCAAGAATCATTTTCAATCCGTTACTCGTGCTATTCGAACTTCCGTACCCCGTGGAAATTTCTAAAGAAATCCTTGCTAAACCATTGATCCTGGGTCTACTAAACGAATTACTGGACTTGATTAGCAAAATGGGATGCAAATCGTTTAAAGGCTTCGAATCAGAGAATGCGTTATTGAACACCTGGCTGAAACTTTATTCAGATAACTGTGGTTCCGACGACACTCAAGTTTTAGAAAAAGCGTTGACCGACTTGTCCATCAACTCCAAACCAGAATATGTCGGTTCTCCAAATTTCTTTTTTGAATTCTATCACCAACAACAATTGGATCATGACACTTTGTTGTTGCAACCAATCTTACTTGCTGATGATTTCTCTATCAAGACCCCGTACCTTGAGTTCTTATACACAACAATTTGCCAATTCGCCAAGCTTAATAATTCCACTTTGGTAACAACTAGTTCGTTGTTTTTCATCAGAAACACTCAAGAGATTTCCAGGAAATTGAAGAATTTAGATAATACCAATAACTTAGAAACTCGTATTGTATCACTCGTCAACAAAAATAGAAGTTTGGAAGACCTGAATGCCTCATTAATCAAACAAATCAATGAACTTTCTTTGCAACTTAATTCTCAGCGCAGGGAAATGGCGAAGATGAGCCAATATAGCAACAACAACAACAACAATAATTCAGCTAATCCTTACCTCAATGCCAACCCTAGTTCGAATGCCCTTAATGGCTCTAGCGGCACTAGTACCAGCTCTGGATCCCGTTCAAGTGGTAATAGCCGTCCTATGTCTAGCGCTCTGCGCCGTCAAAGTCTTGTTAATGGAAGCAATGGCCAACTTACGGTTAACAGTGTTCAAGCTTCACCTCAAAGACTGCCTGCTCGTAACTCGGTCCACCAATTGAATTTTGATCTTGGCCCAGGCAAAAATAACTCTGTGCAACAAAACCCTCGGAACGAGAACTCCAATGAAGGGATGGACGATGGTTATGCTGAATTGGTGGATTTATCATTTACTGCCATGAAGTTCACCGGAGAAGCAAGAACTAGAACCCCATCGCCAAACTCACGCATGTTGAACGGTAATCCTAATGGCAATAGTCCAGGCGGTATGGGCAATGGTCCAGGAAACCCAGTCAGTGCCATTAATGGGACTAACAACGTAAAAGGACAAGCCAACGGGAACGTTGCTCGTTCGAACTCTTTCACTAATTCTGGTCGCAAGCCTGTGGCTGCTATCCCTAACGGCAATCCTACTGGACCTATGGTCAATGTCAAGAATTCAAGAGCTTCAGTAAGAAGAAGTGCATCTCACCAATCCAACTTGTATCCTAATCAGCAACAACAGCAACAGCACAGGCCAACGGTAAGACTTATTGGTAACGGCAATGGTACCGTATCAAGTAATAGCGTACCACAACAGCAACCACAGCAACCTGTCAATTCTGTGGCCATGATTCCTCTTTCAGCTCAAGCTTCGTTTGTTGACAAGCCTTTTGGCAATAGCTCATCTTATCTTCCAATCCAAGACGTTTCTGCTCGCTTCACCCCACAATCGAGAAAAAATAGAAAATCTGGGATGCCAATGCTTGGATCTCGTGTTGCTAGCGGAGCATCATTGGCGACCATGGGTAATCCATCGATGGCACATAATGTTCCTCCTGCTACACCAACCAGTGGTAATGGTAAACGAGATATCGATGAATATTCCCTTTATGGAGGTGCCAGTTTGCCAAACGGTGCGGTACAAAGACCACCTAGAAATAGAGCCAGTAGTTACAAGAACTTGGCAACAATGTCAGCTAACAGCAATATTCCAAATAATAATAATAGACCTGTTAACAATAATATTGGCAATGGTGCGGCTTACCATAGTAATAGAATCCAGATGCAACCTCCAAACCAAATGTCTTCTGCCAATAATTCTGCGCAAACTACCCCGGGACATTCTCCTTCATTGATGAATTCTACACAGACTCCACCGACTCAAGGATCCCATAATACAATCTCATCGGCACCAGAATTGAATGGGGCCCCAATCATGGCCCAAAGTCAAGGCTCGAATGATTCCAAGAACTCTATCCATTCAGACGGGATTTTTTCCAACATCAATAGTGGCAGTATTGATACGCAAAACAGTAGTGCTGTACCACAACAAAGCAAGGACCTTCCACAACAACCACAACAAGCAGTTGCTAGCGTTACGGCTAGTCAACTTGAAAGTCTTGGAAGATCCAATACTAATAGCAGTATAAAAAAGAAGAGTAAAATGAAATCTTTCTTCGGCAAAAAGAAATGATAGGTGGAAATGTTGATATATAACAGGTTTTTTGCATATGCGATTGAAATCGCGTTTTGTTAATAATATTGGTGCTTTCCTTTTTTTTTTCTTTCCTTGTTCTTTTTCTTTAATTTGATAATTATATCAATTTTCGAACATGTATTTAAAATTCTTCATTCATTTGCTTGATAATGATCTTTTGGTTTATCAAGGTTTTGGTACCGTTTTTTAATTTTTTCTTTTTTTTTTTTTTCATTGTGTTCTAATTTTCTTTTTAGGATTCTTTGCATGCCTTATTCATTTTCAATGACTATGACCAATTTTTTGTGGACTCTATAAAGCAAGCTGAGCAAATTCCTGTTGTACTCCTTTCTCTGCAATATGTGCTGGTCCAAAAAGAATTAAGAGTACTCAATTAATCAACTCGAAGAAGAAGAAGAAGAAGAAGAAGAAAATTGGAGGTAATAGAAATTCGTTCACAAGATACTTATCAATACGGCGTGATCCCCAATATGGTCCATCTGATTTGTTTTAACATCTTTTTTGATGATGGTTTTATGTTTAATTTGTTTTTTGTTTTTTGTTTTTTGTTTTTTGTTTTTGTTTTTGGCTATTTATAATTCATCATTTCTACAACACACATGTACATATATATATATATATATATATATACATATATACAAACACTCATTTTTCAGCTAATATTGTTTTTAATATCTATTCATTTGTTTTTTTGTCTTTGCTATTTGCTATTATTTATTTTGGCTCGTATTTGGGTTTATTAAGATTCGTAATTGGTGGTTTTATCAATCCACAACAGGGGGAATGAATTGAAGGAAAGCGATCCATAATTGATATGATTTGAAAGATATAAGATATGAGAGAGAAGATATGAAAGATAAAAGATAAAAGATAAATGAGATTTTATAACGATGTTGAGATAACTAGCCGCACCACGCAGCCAAAAACGACCTTTTTTTTTTTTGGCGATGGGAAAAAAAAACATCGCAGAAGATGAAGAAGAAGACTTTTTGCCATTAACCTTTCCATCCATATATTATTCATTTATCTATATATATATATTTATAAATATTACCATAGGGATTTCTATCAAACATCAACCAAGAATACACAAAGTGATGAGCGAAGGTCCAAAACCCGAGGTTAAAAAAGAAGTTACGGACTTCAACGAGATTTACAAGAATCAACCAGCAGACTCGGTGATCGTTGATGGGAAAAAAGAATCGTTGAACTTGGAGCTCCACAATGCTTCGAAACAAGTGTGGCTTGTGAAATTACCGAAGTTCTTGGCTGGGAAATGGAACGATGTAGAAGCAATTGCCGGGCAAGAAATTGGGAAACTCCGTATCAACAAGAACCAGCCGGCGATGGGGAAGAATGGGGAATTGAAGTTTAAATTGGTGCTCAATGAAGTGTATGTCGACCCCAACAGAAAAAGAAACGGCGGTGGCGGGTCCGAAAATAATAATGAGACCAGTAGTGGTGATGAGGAGAGCGATTTCAGCACGGTGATGAAGCAAGAAGGAATCATAAAATCCGAGTCTCCAGGGGTGATTGGTGGTATCAAGTCAGAATCAGAGAGTTTATCATCGGAGGGGAAAATCGATTATTTCAAGGACTTACCCCATGAGTATGATTTGCGAGTGACCAATAAAGCGGTGAAGAACCAGTTTATTTTTTCCGAGCAGAATTTGGATAATTTTGCCAAAAGACAAGAGGGGGCCACCAACAACGATGCATCATCATCGAAGACCAGTGGTGGTGGGGTGACGAAACCATCGGTCGATAAGAAAAAATTGTCGAAAAAACAGTTTTGGAGAGAACAGCGAAAGTTGGGAGGCAACAAGTTTGTGCAATTTGCCAAAGCGATCCCCAAGAAAACCGCGCTTGTGGGGACGATTTGCCATGAATGCTCGGTGACCCCATCGATTAACGATGTGAATTATTCCAACGTGTTGCAGGACCGGAAGAATAGAGTGTCGAAAAGACCAGATAAGCCAGTGATTGAGGTGCTTAGGGAAAATACCGGTATCATTCAACGGTTCAGTGCTCCTTCTTTGAAAGGGGACACCGCCGCTAACGACGATGCGTTCATCAAGGCCAACAAGGATTCCAAAGGTAAGGAACAGAACCGGGCGATTCGGATGGAAAGAAAAGAATTATTGGACTTGTTATTCCAGTTGTTTGACGAGTACGATTATTGGAGCATGAAGGGGTTGAAGGAAAGAGTCAAGCAACCGGACAGTTGGTTGAAAGAGTGTTTGGACAGCGTGGCCACATTGATTAAAAGAGGTCCTTACGCGTCAAAGTACTGCCTAAAGCCTGAGTATAAGAAGATGAGAGACGTTGCCAGAGTCGAGCGTCAAAAGGAATTGGGTCTTGATATCACCAATCCTGAAGATGAAAATAAAGATGATGAGGATGCCGATGATGATGTGGAGATGGAGACCATTGTTGGAAACAAGGACTGATTTTGTTCTGGAGAGAGAGGGGGGAAAGATGGTATGGCTGATTATTATGGAAGGAAATTTTTTTTTTTTTTTTTCTTTTTTCTTTTTTCTGAGGAATCGTATTTCTTAATAGTTTCCCCCATTAAATATATGATATCGTATATAAAAATTACAAGGGGACAAGATTACCGGTAGGCTTTACAGGTTTTGTGTCGAAGATTGTATGGGTTTCCAAGTCGAGGAGTACTGCTGTTTTCTTTTTTTTTTTGGATTTTGTTCCCTAGAGAATAACAACACGTTTGGCCATTATAATCTTGCCACTGCTATTTTCATAGCGAGTGGGGTTCCCAAATATCAATGGCAACAAATTGGATAGATTTAAAATGCTCAAAAAGACAAGGATATTGATCAATAATAGGCCCAATTACCCACTGATTAGGTAACCCTCCAGCGCACCGCTTACATAATATCAGCACTTTTCCCTGATTCTTTTTTTTTTTTTTTTTTTTTATCTATGTTATATCATCTTTAATTGACACATTAATTGGTTATCATATGTATCGACACATTGCTTACAATCTTTACGATATAAATCTCTAATTTTTTCCATATTTTCAACACCCCAACAACAATGAGCTTCTATTCCTCGCTTGACTCAAGGTCGTTGGACGTGAACTCCCCCACAATCTTTGAAATTCTTTCTGCCAATGAACTATCGAACTTGTTGACCCCATCACTACGATACGTGTTGGTCCATTATACCCATAAATACCCACGGCAATTATTAAGACTATACTCGTACTTTGATGAAGTTAATCTTGTGGGACGGCTCGCGTTAGAGTACAATTTCTTACGGCGTTGGAACTCGACGTTCACGGAAAAGTTTTATGGGATCAAGAGAGGATCGAATTTGGGAATTAGTATTGAGGATAATGGGGGGAACTCTCAAAGCAAGAAGAAAAAACCGCTCACCCGATGGCAAATTTTGGGGACCTTGGTGTTTCTTGTCGGAGTGCCGTATCTCAAAGAGAAACTCGATGTGATATATGAGAAATGGAGTGCTGAATTGTTGATCAACACTCCTACAGATGATGATGATGATGATGATGATAATGATGATACAACACAGCGGGAAAAACAGACTAAGAAAAAGAAGAAGAAGAAGAAGATGTTGTGGAAATTGATGTTTCTTAAACTATACCCCTTGATGAATATTAGCACCACGATATTCCTGGTATTATTACAAGTGTTGTACATTTCTGGGAAATCGGCATTTCCATCAATCGTCACATATTTATTGAATATCAAGTACTTGAGATTATCCCCCGCCGATTACGAAACTCCATCATCATTGTCCCCGGGGTCTCCCCCTCCTCCACTGGTGAATAGGATCAGACCATTGAGCTTAGGAGAATCGATCAACACAAGGGTGGTGGGGAAAATAATGGCGCCGTTGAAGTTATCGATGACGAGTTTTTTCGACACCACTTTCCCGATGATGATGTTTTCGTTGAAATTTTTGGAATGGTGGCAACAGAATGATAACATCAAGGATTTATTCACGAATTCTCAAGATAATTTCTTGAAAGAAACGTTAGACCGGGTCAACACCGTGCCCACCCCGAAACATCACGGGGATTATTATTATTATCATCATCATCATCAATATAAACACCGTGGGAATAATAATAGTTATTTGAAACATCAGTACGATGATTGTGTGATTTGCAAGCAACCAATCCAAAACCCCGCGATCATCGAAACCGGGTACGTGTTTTGTTACCCATGTATCATGAGACACTTAACCGAACCATCAGACCCAACCGTTGGTGGAAGGTGTCCGGTCACCGGTCAGAAACTTTTAGGGTGTGAGTATTCTCCAAATTCAAAGACTTGGAAAGTACAAGGAATTAGAAGATTGATGGTTTAAAAAGAGGAATGATTGGGGAGGAATCATGCAATGGTTTGGCAGTACGATTTTTGAAACAAGAATAAAGGATAATAAATACAATGATTAGTAGTACGATTTTTGATACACAGAAATGGTTTAAATGAGATAGAATTGATGATTCACCCAATGATTTAGTATTCATGATTAGATGAGACCAGATACTAACGATGAAGAAATGATTTTAATGACATAACCCACTGATGATTAGATAATGATTTCAAAATTATAGAATGCTGTAGAGTGTGTGTACGGCGTGTGCCCAAAAAAAAAAAAAAAATAAGGAATGAAAATTATACAACCCCGTAGAATTTCATGATGGTATTAGTATCATACTCGGTATTGGGAACCCCATGATACTCGACATCATCAAGCACGTTGGCGTACAAATTATCAAAGTGTTTATGGTTATGGTTATTCCCTTTTTTTTGGAAGTCACTCGTCACATAATAAGCATTATCACTGGCGTATTCATCCTTGGTGGTCGCCAACCCCACGGAAAACTTGAACGCTTCGATATCTCGTGGGGAGATATCGCTGACACCAGGATTATTCACGTTCAACACTTTATATTCCCGGAATTTTTCCTCGTATAGTGCAGGGTTGATCAACAATCCTTCGAATTCGTAATTGTTGTAATCAACACTGGTGGTATCGAGGAGGATCCGACTACTTTCTTCTTCGCTGTCATAACTATGGAAAACGTGCTCGCCGTGATCATTCACCAGCAACGACGACGAACCGGTGGTGACAGCCCCATGATGTTGGTGGTGGTCACCAATCATCAACAGCTCATTGTAAAAATCACTGATTATTGATAATTTATCCTCGCACTCGTGGTAAATCACGGTTTCTTCACCGTAAAACTTATCGAAATTCGTGGTACGATCGTGCTCGTCATTGGTGCCGTCGTGGAGGGTCATCGTCGTCGTGGTCAAGTATGCTTTCTCATCTTGGTGGTCATCGTTATATAAATTCAAGTTTTTGATAGACATCATCGGGTTAGTCAAATATTCATTGAAATTCTTATTCTTATCGATCGCTCCCAATTCCGGAGACATTATTTCTCGGTTATCGTGTGAGTTTTTTCCGTAATAAATGGGGGTTTCCCCGCCTTGCGAGGTGGCGGCGGGACTATTATTAATCTCATCATCGACAACCGCTGCCGGATTATCATTTTCTCTGGTCTTGTTGATCAATTTATTGAAATTGATATTATTGGGGAGCAAGTTTAAGATATTCGAATAATTCATCGACCGGCCCAATGATAATTGTCCATCATGGGTTTTTTTTCGGTTAGATAATGGGAATTTCCCCAAATACGACGATTTACCATGATCCATGACTTCTTCGTTATTGACATCATCGTAGTTTTCCCCCATGAACGGTTTGTTGGTATCATCACGATTTCCATTGTTATTATCGGTCATCATGAACATCGAGTTTTTACCGGTACCGTAAACCCCGCTGGCGTTTTCGGTAAGAAACTTGCCGAGATTCTCATTGGCCCTGATGATACCATTTAATTGTGAGTACAAGAATTGGAGTTGATCGTCGTCGTCATCGTCTTGGGCGTGATAAGTTTTATGGTTGTTCCACAAAAATCGGAAGAATTCACTATTATCACTATTATCATTATTATCATTATTATCATTATTATCATCATCTTGTTGAGACACAAAATCCTCACTATACAACTGCTTGAATTTTTGATTGATGATCCCCGGCTTCCGTGATTCAAACGGACTCATCTCCAACGATGAAAAATGAATCCGATCCTTATCGACAGTTTCCCCTTCTCGGTCTTCGGAAAATTTCGCCCCTGATAACTCTTTGGCGTCGATCGCTAAAGAACTTTTCATGTTCATATCGAACAACAATTTGAAATTCGTCAATTTTCTCGGGGTATAATACTCGGTCCAGTAACTGTCGATTTGTTTCCCCGGATACGGCTCAAGCATGACATCGACCCTTTGTTTACATTTGCGATCCATGACTTTGAGACGATAATTGATATCGTATAATTTTTTCAATACTGATTTTTTAGTGACTTGTTGTTGTTTTTGTTGTTGTTGTTCTTCCTCTGCTGCGCCTTGTGGTTTATTGGAAAATACCCGTTTACTGATAATCCCCCCGTGCAAATCAATGATCAACTCATCGAGTAACTCACGAGCAATTATCGGGAAATTCTCATCGATGTTGAACTTATCGATTTCTCCATTCAACAAGTATCGAGGCGGTGGGAAATGGATGGATTTCCAATAATTGAACACGTCTTCGTTCCACCAATAGTTGAAACTGCGAAGTTTTTTAAGGTGCGGCTTATACCCACTGATATCATTATGCAAATAATAATCATTGGGGAGATCCCACAACAAGAACTTACTACCTAATTTCAGATAATCGTAATTGCCCAAAAACAAATTGATGGAATCTTGTCTCAATGGATCGACAAAACTGTTCGAGTAGAACCGCTTGAAATTCTCGATCAAATCGTTTTTTTTACTGCTCCATTGATTGATCTTTCGGTAGGTTTCCATGGTGTTCACTAAATTCGATCCTCCGTACTGTAAGGCAATGATATTCCCGTGGTTATGGAACAAATCCGTCAACAAGTTCACGGCGTCGGAATCGTAATCGAGGTACACGTTATCGTATACCCCGAGCAATTTGAGTTGATGGCCCAACGCTTTTTTCCCAATGATGAATTGCGCGGCGTTGGTACGATCTAAACAATCGATACAATTGGTGCGGCAAATACCAATTTGTAAATTGCTGTGGTCTTGGATGAGCGAGTTGTGGAAAATCCCGATTTCCCCAATCACTCGATCGGCATAAGTTTCCAAGAATTCTAACACGTCTTGGCCATGGCTGCTAGATTTCGAGGCTCTAGACATATCCCAGGCAACATAATCCAATCGATGAGATTCGGGGATGAATTGGTTAAGAAACTCGATACATTCACGGAACTCTTTGCCAAGAATCGATTCCCTAGGGGTTTTCTCCTTTTGTTTGATCAAATTCAAAATAAAGAGCTTGGACCCATACCGTTTGAAAAGTTTTTCGAAATGGAGGGCCGACACCGAATAAAACGGATCGTTCAACGTCATGCTGATTGGGGGTTTGGCAATCTTGATATTGGAGTCCTGGGTCCAGAATAATGGGATACTGCCCCGGTGTTGGACAAAACTGGTGTACCGTGGGTTCATGAAATACCCATTAGCGTTATCGTGGAACGAAGTGGTCAATTCGTCACAAACGATTTGTTCTGATTCCACTTCGTTAGCCACGTTACCTTTATCATTGACCCCACGTTTCAAAAACCGGGCTCCGGCAAAATGATGCGATCGTCTAGCAATCACCGTGATGTAGATCTTCTTGTTATAAATGGAGATATTTGCCTGGTTGAAAAACCCATGGATGATGGGCTGGAACCAGTCAAACGTTCGGTCAAACACCAGGACCGCGGGCTTGAGCAAGGCAATGTTCCAAACAAACATCTCATTATACGACCCTAGGTAATTTTCTGCTTCTTCTTCGGTGCCCAATAGAGATTTGACCCGGTCTTCGTTATCGACGTCATTTATTATTGTGTGGTCGGGGTTTATTGATGATGAGATGTTAATTTCGGAGTTGCTATTTTCACCAGTTTCAGGGGATTGTCCTTTTTGATGGATAATTGTCGAATCATTATAATCTTTGCTAAGGTTGGAATTTTTCTGTTGAGTTTTATATTTAAACGCTTTGAATTTCTCGTTCATAAAGTTTTTCTGTAAAGTGTTGGTGATATCGTAAGTATAGCTGAAATAAAAGTTTTGGTCGAGACTGAAATCCTCAAAGATCGAAAGAAACCGTTGTTCATTATCAAGGGCGTCTTTGGAGGAGTTTTTCTTGAAATGGGTTTTATTTTTCTCGTTGATCACCGGGATCAATTTGGTGCTATCGATTTTATAAATGTTATGACCCCCCAAGATCCCAACGATCGACCGTTCAGTCACGGTGTGTAAGTAATAATTGTGGGTGAATTTGATGAATCCCAATAACCCGTAGCATGAGATCCGTTTGACGAGGTTCTTGGTTTCTTCTAAAGTGTTGAGGATTTGGATGATCTCTTTGCGGTTGAAATACACGTTATCCTCGATGATGTTCAACTTGTCGACGGGGTTGGTCAAGTCAATTTCCAAGATCCGGAACATGGTTTCCCTGTTGTTGCTACCGATGATATACATTCTTTCCTCGGTGTCGTAGATGGTGTATTTCTGGAGAATCAACTTGCGAGGTTTCAAAGTGGGGAAGTTTTTGTCTCCGGGGAATAATGGGATGTTTGTCTTATTGGCGTTGGTATTGGTATTATTGTCGGAACCGTTTAACAAAGGGGCATTTTCATAATCATAAACAAAGTCTTCTTCTTCGTTATCATCAGCATCATCATCATCTTCTTCTTCTTCTGGCGGGGTGTTGTTATTGTTATTGTTATTGTTATTGTTTTTGTTGTACCAGGCATCTCCAAAGATCACATTGTCATCAAAACTTGATTGTTGTGGAATGGTATTCTCCTCATCGTTATTATTATCGAGGGAATTCACTGCCAGGGCACTTTCTGAGACGAATCCTGGCGATGGTTTGCTTAACGGTGGTGGTGGTAGTGGATGTTTTTGCCATTGGGAATCGTTGGACGATACACTGACATCCTCGTCGTCGCGGGATCTTTTTTTCTTTTTGTCCATTTTGGAGCAAAATAGCAGATGGGAATGTGTGTTGGGAATAAATGGAATAGGATAATAATAACAATAATAACAATAATAAGATAATATAAGAAACCCACCCCCAAATTTTGGTGATTTTTGAGGGAACGGAGCGCCGTTAGTAAACTTCTTCTTCTTCTTCTTCTTCTTCTTCTTACCCAAAAAGAGACCACACACCAAATGCCAACCAGAACACCTTTAATCATCCTCAGTCTTCTCACGATCGCCCTCGGGCTCCAGCTAGTGGCGTTGTTGACGGTGCCGGTGAGCCTGACCATGAGTCTTTGCAGGTACGGAGAGCACGCCTTTGGGGTGTTTGGGTTCTGCAACATCACCAGTGGGGCGTGCTCTGACATCCTGATCGGGTATAAAAACACCACCATCGACGAGCTTCTGGGGTTCCTGCTCCCGTCCAATACCAGGCAGTCGATCTCGCGGTTGTTGGTGGTGCACCCCATCAGTGCCGGGTTCACGTTGGTGTTGCTCGTGTTGGCGGTGCTCGTCCATTTGGTGGCCAACGACCTACGGTTGTTGTTTTTGTCGGTGCTATGGACGTTACCGACGTTTTTGCTCAGCTTGCTCAGTTTCTTGGTGGATATCTTGCTATTTTCGCCGCACTTAGAGTGGTGCGGGTGGATTATATTGGGGTCGACGGTGTTGATTGCCATGTGTGGTGCGATGCTCTGCGTGATGCGAAGGTCTAGTTCAAGTAGAATGGTGGGGGGAGGGTATCATAATGTGAGGAGTAATAAGGAGGAGGAGGGGGAGGGGGAGCCGAAACTTTCGGAGGATGAGTATTATGGTGATGATGAGTATTACGAGACTTTGCGAAGAAGTAGTATGGGGAGTTATCTTGAGGAGAATCAGGAGGAGGAGATTATGATGGATGAATTGCGGCCGTTAAGGAGGGTGAGCAGTTGAAGATTCGTGATTCTTATTATTGTTGTTATTTTTGTTATTCTTATTATTGTGATTGTCATCATTGTTTTATTTAAAGAGGTATTTATATTTGATTGACAGTTATCATTGGCAGTTGTTACTAACCGTTATGATTTGATTTTGGGAGGGTCTTTTGTATTATTATGAATGTTTATGAGTGTTTATTAATGAATGTTTATTATTAAAGGAAATGATGGTCGTGATACTGTAGCTAGCCACTCTATTGCCAAATGAACAACTGCCGTTGTATTGAAATTGCGATTTACAGACGATTGATTCAACCATTACATAATAATCAGTCCTCCCAATACCTCAAGACACTGGCACTTTATCACCCAAAATGAAGCAAAAATCGCTAATTGTCATTCTGCAGGGTGCCACGCCCTGCCTCATCAACAACAACAACAAAAAAAAAAAAAAAATAAACAAAAAAAGTGGTTTTTGATGGAAATCAACAAGAAAACTTGGAAAACATTTATGATGATGGTGATGTTGGAGGATACAATACAATAAATAATACAGCATATAATACCCCAAAAAACATGGACTCCCAAATAGTTTCCCACCTCGCCCTTCACCACCAGCTCCAAAAAACCCTCGAGCAAATCAACCTTCAAGAGCTACAACGACTTCACCACCAACAGATCCTCGTCCTCATCAACCATCTTCACAAAAATCTCCCATCACAAGAAGAAGAAGAAGAAGAAGAAGACCATCACCACTATAACCTCCTGTTGTCGCAAATCCACTCGCTCAAATCCCAAAACGAAAAACTCAAACACCAATTGGTCACCCAGAAAGCCGCGTTTGAAACCAAATTGGACGCTCTCTCGAAATCAAACTCTTTGCTCAAGGACAAGATCGACACGTTAACCAAACAGAAATTGGCCAACTTGAAAGGCTCGCCTAAGAGTAATAGTAACAGCCAAAGCCGGTCGTATATCCCCAAAAAAGTCAGCAGCACCACCAAATCGGATTTCTCGACCACCCCATACTTGCGGAAGTTTGCGGGCACCATCCCCATCCCCACTACCCCTCGATCACCGTCGCCCACCAGGATCTTTGCCTCGTCACCTAGTCGTTCTCACAAATCCATAATCATTGCTTCTCCAATAACTACCACCAATAATAAACCACCGACGATCATTACCTCGACCCCACAAGGAGCTGTGGCCACAACAAACAACCAGATCGTGTTGACATCTTCAGGGTCTCCTAAACTAGCGTCGCTTATCAAGTATAAACAAAAGACGAAACCTCGAGGATCGTCATCCTCAATGCGCAAGAGTTTGACTGGCGATCCCATTGGTGATTATCTCGTCGATGACGAACACGATTTGGTGGGCAAGATCGATATCGACGCGCCATTTGCGGCGAAGAAAAGACGGAAGTTGGGCAACAAGACGATCAATTTGTTGGATGACGAGAGTATGGGGGAAGGGATGGAAGTGTTTGAGCAGGCGGCCAAAAGAAGCCGGATGGTCACCAACACCCCGTTGGCGAAAGTGAAGTTGATGGATCGTCTTGGGGGGATTAGTCCGTTGAAGAAGAAGAGTGCCAAGGTGTTTAGGATATGATGGGTGGTGTAATAGATGATAGATGATAGATGATATAATATAATACAATACAATATAATACAATATAATATAATACAATATAATGTAATACAATATAACATAATAGATAATATAATATAATATAACATAATATAATATAATATAATATAACATAATATAATATAATATAATATAATATAATATAATATAATATAATACAACACAATATAATATACTATAATATAGTACAACACAACACAATACAATATAATACAACATAATATAACATAATGGATAATGGGAAACTCCCAATCGGTTACCCTCCCAAAAAACCCCCCCACCGGCTGCGAAAACCAAATTGTTTTGCAACAAACACTGCTCAATGGGGGAGACAGCCAGTAAGTATATTATATAATATATTATATACATATATCTTTCCCAATTGTACCGCCACAAATGAACAGTGTCTCGTTGGAAACATTACTAGGTGTCAGGTAAGTCACAAACTCTCACCCACATCATAAAATATCAGCCCTCCTATCCACTCGCTACTCCCCTACTAACAACAATTAGAATAAAGGCTACCACAATCTTGGACACCGTCATCCAGGGCAAAGTGTACTCTGTCGACGTCGACACCAACACCATCACCTTAATCCAAGACAAATCATCCGAGAATAACCTATCCAATAACACTTACCGGGTCCTCAGGGCCTCGTTCCTCAAATCAGCAGAGGTGATGACCACCAAAAACAACAACAAACCCAAGGGAAAGAGCCTCAGCAAGCCAACGTTTAAAACCGCCGATCCAAAGATTTCCCACGTCAATCTAGACGATATCAAGGCAAAACAATCGCAAATCGCCAAGCAGCTGGAAAAAGACCGGTTACAATCTGCCAGAGACAAATTCATCGATAATAACCTCAAGTTGATCTCGGGGATCCATGGCAAGGAGATCTACAGGAAAATCACCAAGTTGTTCCCGTTAGAAGAGGTCCAAGTGAGGAGCGATGCGATCGCGGTGTTTGGGGCTGTGACGATCAACAAACCGTGGGGAATTGACAACGTCGAGATCATCAAGAAGGCCGGGGATTTGGAGAAGGACAGCCGGGCTGATTCTTCGATCGAGTTTGTCAAAAGCATTGTTGTTGATGTCAATGCGAAGATCATTGGGGGTTGATTGTATAATATATATGTACGCTACAATTGCCATGGTTATTACCTGCTGTTGTGATGATTAAATGTTGTTAGAAAAGAAATGATCAGTACTGGTAGAGATATGGATATTATATTCACCGTAATAAACACCATTGTAGGATAGCATAGCATAGGTCATTCCAGGCAGTCCATTCGTCGATCGAATTCAATTTAATTTAATTACCTAAGCGATTACAAAAAAAACAAAACAAAAAAAAACAAAAAAAAAAACAAACAAAAACAAAAAAAAAATCGTCTCTGAAAATGAAAATCACCGCCAGTAAATAATAATAAATAAATATCAACCAACAAACCAATCGCTCTTTCTTGCGCTGATATATCAGTCCCCAGTGTCACTCACTCAGCAATAATGGACCATATAACAGAGGGATCTCTGTCCCAGGTGATGTCTGGTATGTACTGGAACACGAACACCGCATTCCCTTCTCTAATATATCTATTCTACCTCTTTTTTTTTTTTTTCTCTTTTCTCTCTTTGGTCGGTTTTGTTCATCATCTGTCTCTTAAATCACTATTACTAACAACCTCCTCCTTTTAGACATCACAAATGGTCAACAACCCTCCTCTACCAACAGAAGCAAATCGTTGTTGTTTGAGTCTATCCCCGAAGACAACATTTACTCCCCATCCGACAACGTCAATAACGAAAACTCCCCATTCCCGTTGAAATCGTCGCTCAGCGTGCGAAAGATGACTGGTGAACCTAATTCTGATAAAAAAGTCTGTTTCGAAAACTCTCCAGTGGTGGTCGAATACGACAAACTCAGCAGCGAAGACGAGTATTCCCTTAGAAACTCCAATTCCGTCGATAGTGGGATCCTGTCTTCCAACTCGTCGTCCAAAATAGCCACCACCACCACAAACTTCCAATCGACTTGGAAACCCAACTTGACAAACTCTGGGACAACAACAACAATGCACTCAGATCATCCTAAACCCTTGCCTCCAATGCCCCAGACCTTGCCGCAATCCGAGTCTTTACAACAGGATTTAAGATTTTATAATCTCAACAATAATGGCCAGGGTCTCCACAATAATACCAATAATACCAATAATAATAATAATAATAATAATAGTAATAACCAGGATCTCAGTAATCAATATAGCGAAGTCGAATTATATGATAATCTCGACTCGTTTGAAAATGGTAATGTCTCAGAAGTCTACCCTCCAACCTCGATCGCCATTCCAAAACTTCGGATGAAAAAGGAAAATTACATCAAAAACGATGGTGAATTAATCGATAGTGATCAATCGATGGAAATCGATGGCAAATTGCAAGATTTAAACATCAATGAGAATAGGACCACCGCCACCACTGCCAGAGATTACACGTTGGATGACCTCATCAATGATTCAAATGCCACCGTCAACCGGTTTGATTTCAATTCTACTTCTTCTCCTTCCAAAAGAAAAAACATGAGCCATTTGGAAGATACCTTGGACTCGGTGTTGCCTCCAGATAGAACCCCATCAACCATCATCAAGGAAAACCACAACCTATACGAACGGTACAGAAACCACAATAACCACCGTATTGTCTCCAATAGCAGTGAGAAATATTACGACGATGTGATTTTGAATAGCGTCAGACAAAATGTCAATAATGCGTTCACTGCCAATCGTGACTCGATCAAACGTCCCAATGCGGTGAAAAAAGTTTCTCAACCCCAAGAAATCGAATCTTCCAAAGTTGGAGAAGAGGAAGAATCTTCCAAAGATGAATTCACCATTGGCGATTATATGAATGATTCAAAGCACATTTCTGGGGCTCACAAATCTAAAGATATTTTCGAAGATATCGAAATCACCGACCCAACTATCTCGTCGACCCAATCTAGTGGTAAAGTCGGCAAACCAGAAAGTAGACTTAGTTCCATTGGGTCCAGTGTCACTCCGTTAGGCGAATCTACCATGGACCATTCTGGGTTTTATGCATCGTTTAACCCTCCGATAACCCCAAGTTTCAACAAAATCGACGAAGAAGAAGATTTGTCTGGTAATGGAATACCGATGGATGATCCACAAGAAGAAGAAGAAGAAGTTTCCGAAGATCAAATCATGCAAGAACAACAAGAAGAACCACTGCAGAATCAAATTGATGATTCATTCGAAAGGCTCAGAAATCAAGATATTTCTATCAAACAAGACGATCAAGAGGCGTTCAAACCGTTTTCTGAATCGGTATTTATTGAATCAAATAAAGATGCCAACACCACCCCTAATGACGATTCACGAGTAAATGAAGTATCCAACGACTCCACTGCGTCGAATTTCACCCTCAAGTTGATGCAATTGAAGAAAGAAAAAGAACAACAACAACAACTGGTGAATTCGTCATTCATGCCAGGGTTAGACCCAAAAAACACTTCGTCGCAAACTGTTGCAGACGATAGTCACAGATCGTTAGCCCCAACAAGACTCACCAACAGTGTATTGGACACTTTGTTATCAAAGACCAATGAATACGCCACCAAGAGCGGGATTGCAATGACCACCAAAGGAGTTTCTAACTCTGGGGCCACTTCTAAGACCACCAAGATCTTCTCCAATAAGCATGATTTCGATAAACCTAATAAGCCGGTGTTTGATAAGCCACTGTTCCCAAGATCGCCAACCCAAGATTCGTTATCGTCTTCTGAAGATGTCCTCAACATCTGGGCCAACATGAAACATAAGGAATCAGAAAATAATAATAACCACCAACATCAAAAGGCCAGTACTATTAGAAGTCAAAGTATGAAGAGCTCTCCTAGTATGAACTCGGTGGAAATCAAGAAAATGTTGAAGACCAAAAGAAAAATCAGTCTTCGTAGTGGTACCGGTTCCAAGAAGTACCAAAATCATCAAAATCAAAATCATAATAATGATAATAATAATAATAATATCGACGATAGCATTACCACCGATCGCAATGGAAGGGTCGGGGGTAATTTCATCAACGATACTATTGATCGTGGCAACAGTGATGGTGAAGATATCGACGACGATGAAGAAGAAGATGACGACAATGAGGATGTAGAAATCATGGGTCCTGAAGATGATGATGAAGAGGAAGATGGGATGTTGGATCATATCAAGGACGAGTTATCCAAGATCCCTCAACCGTTATTGCCAGAACAACATTTCGGGAACGCTGATTTCGAACAAGAATTCACCCAAGAACTCTCAAGGTTTGAAGATTTACAAGATGATGAAGAGCAAGTGGTGCGAGGGTATACCACAAGAATCAGTAAAAATGAATTGATCGTTGCGAAATTGGACGAAAAAATGATCGATGGCCCTGAAGAGTACGGCAAACAAAAGATCCCTAACGAGATTTTCAACAGCAAGAAACCTCATATTTATCAAGGGATCGTTAGTAAACCCCAACAACGGGAAATCAAAGTTTCCAATGGATCACAAAGTGCACGCAGCAGGAAAACCAGTGGGGGTAGTGGAGCCACCTCGAATTATGTCAGTGCAAGAAACAGTTTTGGTAAAGAGATCAACGTTAGAAAAAGAAAGTCAGGAGCTCTCAAAGAATTACAACAACAACAACAACAGCAACAGAAAGTTGGGGACCGAGTGGCTTCTATAAATTCCGATGATAGACAACAACAGCAGCAGCAACCATTTAGGTTTTCTTCGACTTCTGGCTCGATTTACGAACGACAAATCACCGCCCCAAAATTACACCGTATTTCTGCCTCTAGTAAACGTGGTCAATCATTATGCGGATCGATCCATGATGGAAGTTCCATCAGTACCTCGATCAGCGGCAGAGATCCTAAATATTCTGGGCACCCACCATCATCATTCCAGCAACCACCCGAACCGATTCTTGAAGATGAACAGAATTATTACGATATCAACTTGCCAAAGGACGATCAAGGTAGATTGTACGTTAGAATCGTTGGATTAAAGAACTTAGACTTACCGGCGGTCGATGCCCACAATGCCAAATTCTCGTTGATTTTGGATAATGGGATCCACTGTATTTCCACTCCTGAAGTGGATTTGCATACCAATACCAGCATCAACCAAGAATTTGAATTGACGGTCAGCGATAATTTGGAGTTCATCTTGACGTTGAAAGCGTCGTATGAATATGAGGGGACCGAGAAATTGATCGAGATCACCGAGAAGTACCCCGTGCGGAAGCGGGTGCTTGGAGGTTTGTTGGGTCATAAAACCATTTACAAGACCAGGAAACGGTTGGTATCAAAGATCGACAAGACCGATCCTTGGGATACCAAGATGGCGAAAGACGGGTCGTTTGCTAGAGCTTATGTGGATTTTGCCCAATACGAGCCGTTGATCACTGGCAAAGCCTGTAATTTCGACGTCACCTGTTTCAACGAATGGGAAACTTATGAAGAACGCAACCATCAAGTGAAAAAGCGTCAGCCTTACCGAATTGGCAAACTCGAATTACAAATGTTATACATTCCCCGGAGCAAGATCAACGAAGTGTTCCCACCAAGTATCCATATCGCTTACGAAGCGGTGAAAGAGTATCAAAAGCAATTGCAAGTGAATTACGAAGGGTTCTTATCGCAAGAAGGTGGTGATTGCAATTACTTGAAACGCCGATGGTTTACGTTGAACGGTACCGATTTGATCGCCCACAATGAGTTTTCTAAAAAAACCAGAGCGAAGATCAATTTGATCAAAGCGGTGGGGTTGATTTCGTCGAATATCAAGAAAAACTACATTGCGGGGACCACTAGTAATAACAATAGCAAGAATAATCGACGGTTGAGTGAGGAGATCATTATGCATCAAGGGTTCAAGATCAAGTTCATGAATGGGGAAACCATTGAATTTGTTGCTGATTCGCAGTACGAGAAGATGAATTGGCTCAGACTTTTGGATCTGGTAATTAGTAAGAATAAGTTCCGTCAGCCATGGATCAAGATTTTGTATGATCAGTTGGTGTGATTTTCCAAGGCGCCCTCAGTGGATAGTGATTATTAATTATGCTTGCAAGTTGTGGTAGATTATGTTTACAAATAGTGATGGTAATGCAAAAAAAAAAAAAAAAAATAGGAATGTTTCTAAATGATCAGGATAAATGATTTGAGTTGCTGTTTTTTGTTACTGAAACTCCGATGGATTGTATGGAGTACGTTTGTGAGAAAGTTTTGCTGCAAGTTGTCTTGTTAAATCCGCTGATTTTGTTGTTCTTTATGCTTGATGCTGGTTGATTTTTCTATATTTTGTGGCTTTGCTCGTCCATTGTGTCTTATTTCTCTTCATATTATCTGCTGGTTTTATACTTCTAATTTGTTTGCATATCGTTAAAGTCTATTTAATTCTAGTTTGCTTTAGAACTTTTACAATTGTGGACACGGTTTTATTCTATCCAGAGTTTGCACTTCCTTATCTACGATCGGTCAAATACTGATCGATTGTGTTTCTTTTTATTATTATTATCGTCGTTCTAAATTTGGTTTTTTTTTTTTTCTTTATTTTTTTTTATTTTATTTTATTTTATTTTCCCCTTTATCAATTTTGTTTATTGTGTTTTTCGTTTCCATTTTATTTATTTCTTTATTTTTATCCTGTTCCCTTGATATCCCTACAATTGAATCATTTCTTCCTACTTATTGATAACGATCGACAATTGTCGCCAGTTTTACCAGCAACTTCGTTATATATAAAGATAACAGCTATCAGCCGGGTAACTTTTACATCAACAAACAACGAATTTTTTTTTTTTTCCCAGCGGCGAAATTATTTTTGTGGTGAAAAACTAAAAAAAAAAACAGATCGAATTCATCGTTATATAGTTATAATATCCAGACAGATTGTATTTATATATATATATATATCATGTCGTCAATTCAATTGCTCAATCCAAAGGCTGAATCAATAAGAAGAGCCCAGGCCCTCCAGGTGAACTCTGCCGCGGCGCAAGGGTTGCAGAGCGTGTTGGCGTCGAATCTTGGACCAAAAGGGACCCTCAAGATGTTGGTGGACGGGTCAGGATCGATCAAGTTAACCAAGGACGGTAAAGTGTTATTATCAGAGATGCAAATCCAACACCCTACTGCGGTAATGATTGCCAGAGCCGCCACTGCGCAAGACGAAATCACCGGCGATGGGACCACCACCGTGGTGTTGTTAGTGGGTGAATTACTCAAACAAGCCGAACGGTTCATCACCGAAGGGGTCCACCCACGAATCATCACTGATGGGTTTGAAATTGCTAGAAAAGAAACCCTTGAGTACTTGAACAAGTTCCAACAAAAGAGATTGGCCAGCGAATTGGACAGGGAAACCCTTTTGCAAGTGGCCAGATCGTCATTGTCAACCAAGGTTAATGGGAGATTGAGCGAAGTGTTGACCCCAATTGTCACTGATGCAGTGTTATCAGTGAGAGACCCTGAGGATCCAAAGAAGATTGATCTACATATGGTGGAAATCATGACCCAACAACATGAAACTGCGTACCAGACCAAATTCATCAAAGGGTTGGTGTTGGACCACGGGGCCAGACATCCTGATATGCCAAAAGTGGTGAACAACGCGTATGTGTTGATCTTGAACGTCAGTTTGGAATACGAAAAGACAGAAGTCAACTCTGGTTTCTATTACTCGTCTGCCGAACAACGTGCCAAATTGGTGGAAAGTGAACGAAAATTCGTCGATGATAAATTGAGAAAGATTGTCGATTTGAAGAACGAGGTTTGTGGATTGGACAGTGATAAAGGGTTTGTGATCATCAACCAAAAGGGGATTGACCCAATGTCGCTCGATGTTTTGGCAAAGCACAACATTCTTGCCTTGAGAAGAGCCAAGAGACGTAATATGGAAAGATTGCAATTGGTCACCGGTGGGGAAGCCCAAAACTCTGTCGATGACCTCAGTGCCAAAGTGTTGGGTTATTCTGGTAAAGTCTGGGAACAAACCATTGGCGAAGAGAAGTTCACTTATGTCACCGAAAACAAGGATCCTAAATCGGTGAGTATTCTTATTAAAGGGGCCACCCAACACGTGTTGAAACAAACCCAAGACGCCGTCAGAGATGGGCTCAGGGCGGTGGCCAACGCCATAAAGGATGAGTCGTTGGTGCCGGGGGCCGGGGCGTTCTTTTTGTCTGCCAACAACAACTTGACCGAGAATTTGTCCAAGTTGACCAAGGGGAAAACCAAGACCGGGGTGCAAGCGTTTGCCGAAGCATTGCTCGTGGTTCCAAAGACTTTAATCACTAACGCTGGTTTCGATGCCTTGGAGGTGATTTCCAGCTGTCAAGACGATATTTTGGAAGGCAGAGTGGTGGGGATTGATTTGGAGTCTGGCGAACCGTTTGACCCGGAAGTCGAAGGGATTTGGGACTCATTTAGAGTGTTGAGAAACGCCATCACTGGGGCGGTGGGGATTGCTAGCAACTTGTTGTTATGTGATGAGTTGTTGAAAGCTGGCCGGTCATCTTTGAAAGAAGGACCGCCAGGGGTGCCAGGAATGTAATAGTTCTTAGTTATTAATAAATGTTGTTTGATAAATTGTGAGCAGATTGGAGAAGCGTAGATGACGGATGATGTAGTGGATAATAGATGATATAATGGATAATAGTTGATATAATAGTTAATATTCATCGTCCACCGGGTAAATTTGGTTTTTTTTCCACCAAAAATCCAAATTTTATATCAAAACAACCCTTTCCTTCAGTTTACATTCCCATATCCATCGAGATAATGGGGAAATCTTCGTACAGAGACACCATCAATGGGTTGTCAGAGACTCCCATCAACAGAGGAGATCTTATAAAAACCGTTCGTCTCACCATCCCATCGTCGGAAATCCCCCACGATTCAGAATTCTTGAAACTTTCCAAACAACAACAACTCCAAGCCGACCCGCAAAGATACTTCCATACCAAACTCTCTGGAGAATCCGGGACTTTAGAAGTCCTTAATCCTGCCATACCTTTCAATGGCTTATCATGGTCGATCATCAATAATTCCACGTCTTTGGTGTTATCGCCATTGCTAATCAATGATTGTACCGTGCCAGTTAACGCATTACAAATCGATTTCCCAGAAAAAATCAAGCAGAATTGTCATATCTTTAGAATCACCGCTACTAACTTGCTCGTGGTTGACTTGATCACCGAAAGTGGCATCTTGGCCACTTTGTGCTTCGACGTCACCGTGGATTTCGCATCCTCGACGAAAAACAACCTTTGTAACGTTGAAAACTGGTGTTATGTGTCTGATCCTTACGATTTCCAAGTGAGAACCCCTCATTACTTGCATTCAATTGATGAACTCTCGTTCTTGGTGTTCCTCCAAGACGGAGGGATCGTCAAGTGTGGTAGAGACGCCGTCAAATCAGAAGTCACGGTGTTTTTGTTTTCTGATACTTCGTACGTCTCTTCGAAACTTGGGAAATTCGGGAGGTTTTTACCAACCATCGCGAGAAATAACTCGTACGATGAAGATGAAACTAATTACAATATCCCCGCAGGCCATACTTTGAAAACCGTGTTGGATTCGTTTGTTGTCAATCACGAGTACTTGGTCACCATCACCTTGAATAGAAAATTGAAAGTATGGTCGTTATCTAGCGGCACGTTATTGAACCAAACGAAAATCGATACCGATTCTGTGGAATTAGGCCATAAATTGATTGGCGATGGCAGCCCAATTAGCCTTTTAAGCGTGATGGGTGCCACCACCCAAGATAAAAATGTCACGGTTCCAAAAACCGCCACGGAAGTACATTTCATGAATTATTTACCTATCGGTACAGGGCAATTCAAACTTTGGAAGTTATTGATCAATGGTACCAATCAATTGGTAGATTTAGGACCACAATTCCAATACCTCCCATTGATTTCCCATAGTAAATCGGTATGGCTTGTGAAACAATTCAAAATCATGGATAAATCGTGCTTGAATTTGGACAAGCTTTTCTATCCTAATCAAGAAATTTGGATGAACATCATGGTGTTATTGAAAAGTAATACTTCGTCAGTTTACCAAGTGTTAACGATCTTTAAAAATGGTGATTTTAATTGGGTGAAATCTAAACTCACAGCAACGTTGCCCGAGGTTATCGATCCAAAACAGGATCCTTCAGAATACTATATCAATAAAATCTTGGACTCAAATGTGTATTCACCGTTAATAATCGAAACCGCGTTGGCGTTTTTCGAAGCGAAATATAATAACAATGCCAATAATAACAATAATAATAATATCCCAGAGGATTTGCCGATAAAAGAAAAGGTAACGATGATCATTAGTCAAAATGTCAAATTGGTCAGCTCCCCAAAAAATTACACTAAAGATATCACGAAACTCTGGCTGAATTTCGAATCATTATGCCAAGAATGTTTGAAGATTTGTCACGAATCCTTATCATTGAGTTTCATTCTGTCGCAAAATATGGTTGTAGTCAATAAAGTATTAGATTTTTCTATAGTTCGGACCAATGACGCCGCAGAATTATTATATTTCAACAAACATAAACAAGTTTCTCAATTACCATTGTTATCGACCCCCAACGACCCAGAATCACAATATAAAAAAATCAGTGGGATCGACAACGATAACAGTATCTTGAAATTCTTGGACATTATCACGAATTTCAAAAATTCTTTACCATCCAGCATTTTAGGCGATTTCAAGAGTTTGCTTTTAGAAAATTTCCAGGGGTCGGTTATCGAACAATCCGAATATATTTTTGATAGATCTTTGAAGGGGAAGATTTCTGAAGACTCCTTGCAAGGGTTGATGAACGATTTGAATTCAGTTGATGTGGCGTTCAAAATCATTGGTTATTTGTGCGATTACCCATCTTCCAAAGACTACCAACAGTATATGGTGAATAATTCGGAATATTTGCAACAAATCACTTTGCAAAAACCATCGAGAATCGTTCCTGGTTTACTAATCATGGGGAGTTTCAAACAAACCCTTGAAATCATGGAAACCCTTTATTTTGACTTATTGTTGATGACCATGATCTTGAAATTCGATGAACAAACCTCGAGTTTGATTTTGACTAAAACATTGACGTCATTTAAAAAGATCCGGTTAGCACTCAAGACATTGTCTACAAAATTCAATGGGGACTCACATGGTTTGAATATTGAGAATATCGGTAATACTTATGATTCATTATTTCACCGAGTGGTGGTGAAGCATTTCCAGCTCGCACATGCCACTAATAAGAGATTATTATCGTTTGTTGTCGATGATAAGTTTTTATACGGGGTGTTGAATGAATTATCGATCACCAACAATTCAGAAATTATCTTGAACAGTTTTACCGGTTACGAAACTCATAAGGAGTCGGCAGTTTTCCAACTATACCAATGCTTGACGTATTTGAACGCCAACCAACCGGCAAAAGCGATGAGAATTTTGTTGGCCAACCTGGCCAAGATTGTCAAGTACCAACCATCCACCGAGGAAAAGAAATTCATCGATGTCATTGGTGATTTTCTCGAAATTTCCAAATTATCACAATTCTATTACACTATAGCCAGAGTGTTTAATGAACTTTATCATTATTCTTACGCCCTCAGTTTGGTGAAATTGGCAATTAAGGAATTTGAAACCCACGAAATCGAGGAAGATAATCCCCATGTTACCAAGCGACAATACTATTCATTATATTTCCAAATCGCGTTGGGATTGCAGAATTTCCATGAAGCGTTTATGGCCCTTCAACAACTCGACACCAATTCGCAAAATTACTCCGATTTCAAAGAGGCCAATAATCTTAGGTACGCCGATTTGAAACAATTTGTTGACAGTATTATTGTATCGAACGATTTGAAAAACTTGATCACTTATCCATTTAGTCCTGGGGATATGACCAAGGTTGACGAGATCTTGTATGATAATGCCGACTCTATCAATTTTAATTTCCCATTGTCCGCTTCGTTGACGGTGATCAATACCAGTCTTGCCACGGGACTCAAGCATTTCAAGACGGTGTATTCTTGGAGATTGAACAATGGTGATGTGAGAGGGGCGTGTGAAGCGTTGTACCAATACATCACCAAGTATCAATACTTGGTGGGCCATCCAAAACGCGGGAAATCGGTGGTGGATATGGTGTGTTATAAGAAGTACCACGAGGTGATGATAAAACAAAAGTCAGTGATGAAGGATCTTTATTTGAATATTATGAGTTTGTTGAATACCATGACGATGGATGATGAGAAGTGGGTGATGAAGGAGAACCATGAATTTGGTGACGATAAGAAGGTGAAGAACCGGTATGTGGTGGTGATGGTGGATGAGTTGGTTGCAGAGTGTGAGAATTTGCAATAAATAAATATATGATATAACTAGTCTCTATATAATATAATAATTGATAGTAATAATAATAATAATAATTGTTAATGTAGAATGATGATAATTGATAATCGATGGTAATTCCAAATTACCCGGCCTCCAACCCGGGAATTTTTCTATTTTTAATCTTTTGCCCACACAAAAACTGCCACAGTTCACCAGCGATGAACGATATTGGCAACCCTTTTTCCAGCACTGATCAGAAGATAGATAATCACAACTAATAGGAAAAGAGCCTGTTTATTGGGAGGGCCGCACATATTCTATCATTGTATTTTGTTTGTTCTGTCTGCTTTTGTTTTTTTTGCTTTTTTTTTTGGGGGAGCAGAGAATTTTTATTGAAGATCTTTAATTATTTGTTGAAGAAGATAACGATAAAGATAATATAGCTGTGTTTCTCCAACCAACCAACCAACAAACAAACAACCATTCGTTTGATTATATTTCCCGTGGAATATTATATTCTCGATTAGAAAACTGCCCCAATAATACCCTTTGAGCGTTCTCAAGAAAGATTGGCTGTGTGTGTTTGAAGTATTGTCATTTCGAATATAACATAATATATATATTTTCATGAACAGAAAGAGGATATTCATTAAGATAAAGAGAATATTCATCAATAGAAACAAGATCACCGCAAAGAAGAAGAAAGTTTTGTTTGTTAAGACATTGTCCCCATAAATCATCATGCCACCATCTTCCTCGGTACTAGAAGTATACGGTACCGCTCCCGAAATTCTCTCGTCGTCGCTTGAGAAGTCTCTGAAAATGTACCAGATATCGAACAATAACTCGACAGCCTCTTGTGCCAGCGTGGAAATGTCAAATGGAGTGTCTATTTTTGTTGATGATGTTGATGGCCAAAGTTTGGAGGACAGTCCCGGATCAAGGAGATTTTTTGATGACGATGATTATCACGATGATGATGATGATGATGATGATGATAATGATGATGATGATGATGATGATGATGATGATGATGATGATTATGGTACAAAAATGCAAAATAATAATATCAGAGTGGGCAAATATTCGCGATTGTTGCCTCGAAAGTCATTGAATAATTTAAATCCCAACAGGCCACTTCGAAATACCAAGAATTTATCATTAAACTTGAACGGGATCAGCAATCAGGAAGCAGCAGCAGTAGATGAGGCTCCTCCGCCACTCACGGGCAGCAATCTTTGTTTTGAGGTTACCATTAATAATAATAAAATCCTGGGGGATTCCATGTTTTCGCCCATATCGACAGCTTTACCATTCAAGAAATCATCACTCAAAGAAAACTCGAAACAGGTGGCGAGCCTCAGGACCCAATTGAGCCACAATAATCTCCACTCAAAGATCTCGAACCAAACGATAAAGTTGCCAACAAATAATAATAGTAATAGTAATAATCATCCTCTTCTCTCACAACCAACTAACCCTGCTCGTCCTCATACCCTCACTAGGCGTAAAACCCTGCTATCACTTTCCATACCCAGTCTGCAAGAACCGTATTCCCCATCATTGCAATCGGCAACCATCATCGGTAATAAACCCCCAATGCTTCGAGGGCTAGAAATCAAGTCCAGTCCCACCACCCCAATGATGAAGTCTCATAATATCGACGATTCATACTCAGCAAACAGTGATAAAACTATCCTAAGTGATAAAAGTTCGAATTATGGTGAAAATGATTTGACATCGGTGATTTACCGTGCCGAGAATAAAGTAACAACTACTAAAGGCCCAACCCCGTCATTTTCTACCCAAACGATTCTTCAAGATTTCTCAAAACTAACGATGAATGATAATTTCGACGAGGATAAATTGAACGCCTACCCTAACGGACCAGCAAATATCTATAACCACCAATTGTTTTTATATTCTTGTCCGAGCTTGAAAGAAATCAAACAATTTGACGTGGTCATCAACGTGGCAAAAGAAGTGTTGCATCCTTTCCCGCAAGCGAAATTCGAAGACTATGAAAACCCAAAGATTTTCAAATCGGTATCCAATAGTAGAGTATTTGAACGAATTAAATCCCATGGGGATGATTCCTTGGGTATCCCTGATTATTACTACGTTCCTTGGAGTCATACCTCGAAATTATGTCTTGATCTACGATTCCTCGTCGACGTTATTGAGGACGCGGTGGGAAAAAACCAGAAAGTATTGATTCATTGTCAGTGTGGGGTCAGTCGATCGGCATCGTTGGTGGTGGCGTATATTATGAAACTCAAGAAACTCATTCTCACCGAGGCGTACAGTTATGTGAAAGAGAAAGCTAATGATATTTCTCCTAACATGACGTTGATCTTCCAATTGATGGAATGGGGTGATTTGATTGGCTGCGGGGTGGCAAAGAGTCCAGGTTACTATGATCCAAAGTTCAAAAATAAACAACTTGGGGATCCAGAAGTTGAAAGAAAAGGCCAGTGACGCGAACCTGAAGAATAGTAATGACAATTAAAGCAACACGATTTTTCAACCACTCATGGTGAATATTACCTCTGTTCAGGATCTTTTAGGTGATATTATATATTATAGGTTTCTTTTTTTTTTTTTTTGTTATTGGATCTATTATGGGATTATGGTATATCTTATATATCCCGAATATTATTTTGACATTTCAATGTCAAGTATTCCATTCCATCCTCTTTGCTTGCATTTTTTTTTTTCATTTCTTTTTTCGAAATCTCTTTTGCATTATAGTTTGAATTATCATTTCTATTCATTACTGTTTCTGACTAGTCATTTTTCTTATTATCTTTGTAGTTGAGACACATTCATTCACTCAGTAGTTATTGTTAGGGATATTGCCTTGTCCAGCTAAAGACGCTGATGGTGAAGAAGAACTTGTATAGCATGGGGGATCCTAGTAGTTTCTCATCACCAAACTACCCGAGAGTAAAGTGTGACCATCGTCCTTAAGGATGGAAAAATCATTTTCAGAAGATTAAACCTAAAGAAAATTGTGTAACTACGAGTGTTTAAAGTTGTCGAAGAATAATATTCCAAAAAATAAAAAAAAAAAAAAGAGCCAGCATTGATAAATTATCGTCATACTGGTCCTCATTATCGCTATCGCCCTCTTAATTTCCCAACGCTCTTAGAGATATCACCCAAAAGAATAGTGTAGGCAAATTCTAGAACGTTGGACTTTTCCAGGATACACTCCCCTTTCAATACAACGTCATTATCCAAGAACTTTTCCCAAATAACATGAAATATCTCCTCCCAATCCATATTGAAACGTAATCTATGGGAACAATAACCATATTCACCCTTTTCTTACATCAATCTTCATTTTAATAAATGATCTAAAAATATGCCTTCCCTTTCAAGAATAAGAAGAAAAAAAGAACTAATGTATTAGTAAGAATAAAGAAAACAAATTCTATAAAGGAATATCTTTACCCATCATCAAACTGAACACCAAGTAAAAGTTCAATATCGTAATGAACAACCATATTATTATTGACAACATCTTGGTAATGGTGCCGTTGGACATATCCTTATAGGCCACAATCTCATGTTCATCTATCATCTGTTGTTGTTGTTGTTGGGGGTTATTTTGTAGTAATTGATCCCCTTCATCGTCATCCAACTCATCGAATTCTATGACTTCCCCTGGTGACAGAGGATTGTTCAAACAATCTAGCTGGATCTCGTTGCCGGAACCATGGTTTTGGTGGTACATTGAAGACTTCCTGATACCTACCTTCATGATCCGTTTACTATTGGTGAAGTAAATAAGTGGTGCCGAAACAATCGGTAACAAGAAACTGAGCACCACTTGGCTGAAATTCAAAATATTAGAAAGCCCTTCTCTACCAGAAAGTAGCGAGAGCACAAGACAAGGAACAATGGCAATGGATCTGGTGATGGTCCGTCTTAATGATGGGGTGATGGTCCAATCAAGAAACCCTTCTGACACCATTTGTCCTGCCAAAGTACATACCACCCCTGCAGAAAGTCCAGAAAATAAAAGGGCAAGGGCAAAGATCGTCCCAGCAGTCCGTGACAAATTAGCACTAAGAAGATTGTAAATCGTGAATAAATCAGCGTTCTCGGTCTCTTGAGTATTGGAGTCCTTGAACGTTGCGGCGGCGATAATGAGAATTGCCGAATTAACGAAAAGGGCAACGGTGAATAGCGATACCACAAGCTCGGTTATTGTATACCCCATAGTCTCGTTGATAGCATCGATTGAAGGAACGTAATGTTTGCCAGGGTCAGCTTCCAGGTGTTCTTCTTCCAGGTAGTTGCCCATTTTAATATCGTACTCTTTCAACCGAGGTTGCACAAGCCCTGACCCTAAGTATAATGAATGGGGCATCACAGTGGCCCCCAATATCGCAAGGCTAATATAAAGCCCATCGTTTTCAATCACGGTTTTGGAAGGTAAAAACCCGTTGATGATTTCTTTGACGGTGATATTGTTCGATATCGTTACTAATTCCACTGCAAAACAAATCACGGTTCCGAGAACAAGACAGCTGACAAAAGCTTCAAAGATCCTCACGATAATCATTGGACCATTAGGACGATACGCCATTAACACAATGAGCACGTCGATGATGGTAAGCACCACCCCCAAAAATAAAGGAATGCCAAATAAGATATTGAGGGAGATCGCGGTACCAATGACCTCTGCCAAGTCGGTGGCAATGATCGCCACTTCGGTTAGAACATATAGGGTGAGATTCCATTTTTTGGAAATGTGTTTCTTGCAATTCTGGGCCAAGTCTAGCCCGGTGACCGCCCCGAGTTTCGCGCACAACAGCTGGAGGAAAATCGCCATGATGTTTGCAACAAATATCGAGAACAACAATTTATATTGAAACTTCGAAGCCGTCACTGATGTCGAGTAATTTCCTGGGTCCATGAATGATACCGAGACCATGATTCCCGGACCCAAAAAGCTGATATATTTCTTGATGACTTTGACTAAGTTGGCAAGCCGTGACGGCGACGACGACGATGCTTGAAGACTCAATGATGGAGCGGGTGATCCTTGTGGTCTATATGGAGATGCCATCAGTGATAGTACTGCTGCAGCTTTGGGTAGCACTGACTTGGGTTGCTGCGAGGGCAAAAGATCGAGGTCTGATTCTAATGATGGAGAGGTTATATCGTCTTCATCATTCATTGTTTGTATTAGGAAGAAGAAACCAGAGTAAATGCAATGAAATTGGTAATTTTTGTTTATCCAGGTGATTTATCTAGTATTTCCAGTAATTATTAGTATTATTAATCTTAGGGAGAATGGCTGATTCTTACAATTGCAACTACCATAGTTCACTGTAATACTAATGCCAGTGTTCAAAATAAAAATAAAAAAAAGTTCTGGTCACGTGTGTGAAGTGGTGATTTCTCATAATCAACAACAACTCTGTATTTGATAATAATTATAATATATTTACTTTCTCTTGATGACAGCCCACCAGTTGTCTCGCTCATATCCATTGCGAACCACTTCAGCACCAGCAGCCTCGGCATTCTCCTCGAGCTCTCCCTTTTTATACAAATGGTAATATCTCATCTTGGTTTCTGGTTCCTCTTCCTGCGTTCCTTCTTGATCTTCATCATTCCTATTCTTCTTTTTTTTATTTTTCTGGAGCACCCATGGCACTAAAATGTCCTGGGGCATACCTTCTTTCCACCCTCTGCGAGAATTCTGCTGTTCAAGGGCCCATACGTAAATAAGCGCCTCTCCTCCAACATTCAATTTACTGATAATGTGTTTGATTGCCTCGATCCGTCTCTCAGGAGTCGAGAAATGGTGAATTACCGCAATGGAAATCACAAAATCAAACAGATTTCCAAAATGCGGAAGTTTCAACCCATCGGCCACAAGAGTGTCCGAGAAACTCTGTATTTTCGAGTTATTTGTATAAGCGAGATTCACAAGTTGATCAGATCGATCACTACCAATGATATACACGTTTTTGTTAGCCCCCAAATACTTGCCATTACCACAGCCCACGTCTAAACCTATTGACCCAAGGGTTCTGCTCTTAAGGAATTCCTCGACTATTGGCCACTGCTTGTATCTGGTATGCGAGAAGTGTGGAGCAATCTCATTATAAACCGTGTGGACGTAGATCTGTTCTCGGAGAGCCGGGTCCTCTACCAGGATCATCCTCTGTTCTTCTTCGCTATGGGAGTTCATCGTTATTTAACCGCCTTCCTCACCATCGTCTTCATCAGCATCGTTAACAGAGGAATTTTTTTTTTTTTTTTGGTTTCGTTTGACGATGGTTGGTCACGTGTATAGTTGCTTCCCAATGAGGATCTTTTGAATATATATATATATATATACATTTATTGGTTATTCACTTCTTTGTTGGTGTTTTAGATGAAATAGATTTGTTGGTTAAGCTTCAACACATATTCAACACCAAGCAATAATAATAAGCGCCCAAGCATCTTGATCACTTAAAAAGCAAAAAGCAAACAAAAAAAAAGATGGAAAAAAAGGTATTTTAAACAAAAATCATGATTCTATTTCATAAACGATGATTACATTCAGATAGCAGTAGTGGCAGTAGCAATGGCAGAGTCAGTGGCAGTATCACTGACAGTATCACTGGCATAACTGATCAACAGACCAAGAGAATTATAGGTATCATTCTCGCTATCAGTATAGGTACCACCATCAACTGGACACAAGTTCTCGGCTGATGGAACGCAAGCACTCGATGAGACCGCAGCAGAAGCAGAGGTGGCGATATCGGCGAAATCAGAATCAGCGGATACAAATTGGTCTGCCAACGCAGCAATAGCACCACCAGCAACAGCAAGCTCACCAGCATTTTCAGCACCGCTCAATGCTTTAGATTTAATCGATTTAGAAGTTGATGATGGAGATTGCCCATCCAGGTTAGCTTTAGTTGGAGAGTCTGCAGAGGTTCCACTGTTAGTTGTTTTGTCATTAGACTTTAATAGGGCGCCTTTATTGGTTGTTTCATCATTTTGTTTCCCAGAGGTATTTGAAGAAGCTGTTGTTGCGCCATTTTGTTTCTCAGCATCAATAACAGCAGGCGATTTATTCTTGCTTGCTTTGTTTTTGGAGACGGGAGATTCTGGGCTTGTTTTCCCTTTATTCTTTAAGGCTACTTGACCTTCTAATGACCCAAGAGGATAAGATTGAGCAAGCATAGTAAGGATTTTGATTTGCAAGATCTTGGATAAAAGCATTTTTGATGTCTGTTCTGAGTATAAAAATATGTTAGTTGTTGTTGATTATGGTTATAATATAAAATACTCTGAAATTCAAATAATTGGTGCCATATTGGAATTATTTGTATGTCATTTATGATCATAATGAGCAAAGTCCTTGCTTCCGAATCGAAACTTTCTGCTCCCCTTTTCCAACGAATCCTCTTCTGGTAAAGTGGAAAGAATCTTTTTTTTTTTGGGTGAAAGACCCAAAGTTTCATAAAGCGTTACCCACGGAAGATTGCTAGATATCTCCGACACTAGTGTTCTTGATGACCACTAATAAACCAACGATTATAACAATAAATTAAATGAAGATATTATACTATATTATTAACATGAGGGCATATCTCTGCAGTTGTTCCAATACACTGTATCTAGGGTCTAGAGACCGATTCTTGGAAATTTTTTGGATTTTGCGGAGTTTTATTGTTGTTTAATTTTATGCAAAGCCAAAATAGGACTATCCATAATGGAGGATATTATTATACTGGAAAATAGTAAATGTCCCAATCTCCTTTCAAAATGAAGATATTAAATTTAATAAAGACGCTATTGGTCTACTTGCGGTGATATTACGAATAACCGTTCCTGAAATTGGATATTTGCGAATGTAGAGTTCCATTTTTTCCATCATGATGACGAATTATCAAGTACGACTCTGTGCTTGTATTTTATCAAATATCTCCCAGGAATTGAAACATGTGTATATTGTTGGGACACCTCTTCGTTAATTTTTCCTTTTAATGCTTTCACTATTTACGGCAGCTTGTTTACCTATCAAGGAATCACCCCTCAGGAAATTACATTTTTATATGTATTCTTATTGTTACAGACCTTGTTATTGCCATATATATGTGTGTGTGTTTTAGTATGCGTGAATGTTGATCCTAATGAAATTTGACAAAAGATGGAGCACAGATAGTCCGTTGATCTTGGCACATCAATAATGCTAGCAATTATTCTTTCTTGACATTGTAATTTATTTTTTTCCGAGTACTTAACATTAGCAAAGCCGATATAAGTAGTTCTCATCCTTGCAATGTACGTACATGATTCAAGTGTGACATGACTAATTCCTACTAAGAAAAGAAGAGAAAAAAATATAATTGGAGTTGTTGTCTATTTAAGGAATCTATAAAATTAAAAAAGTTGATTATAATAAAAAAGTTAATAAAAATAAAAAAGTGTGAGCTCCAGTAAAAGGTGGTAATTGTACAGATTATTAAGCATACCATAGGAGGATTCATTTTATTCAGGCATCAGTGGCGCCAATAATCACTATGAAAATGGCAGTGGCTGAGCTGAAAAACACTCCAGATGAATCATTAGTGCCGCCGTCACTGTTTTCATAAGTACCACGACTAATGAGAAACAAGTAGTCAGAAAGTGGAACACAGATGCTAGAGGAGCTGTTGGCTGAAGAACTAGAAAATATACCACTGGTAAAATCTGAAGAGTTTGTGATACTCAAAAAAAAAAAAAATAGTATTTGATAATATACATCAACATCAAAGATGTACTAATGAACTCGCTAATAGGAAGACTTCCATAAGTGGACACTTCAATGGTTGGTATATTAGCTTCAGGATGCTTGGTACCAATATAACGTGGTAAACGATGAGTAATTCTGAAAAAACTAGTGCTGGCATGATCATCCATCCCAACCAGGAGCAGTACGCATATAATGTGAGACCCGCTTGATAGTTCCAGCATCAAGGGAACTTACAACAGGGCCAGGCCCAGTTATAAAGTGTCCCAGAGGATGGGATATCACTAAGATTTATGTATGACACCGTGTTAGTGAAAAGTAAAGCCCCAGTTGTGGGTGATTCAAATTATCTACGACAACACGCCGAGGTATTGAATGATTTATGGCTCAATTATTAGAAAGAAGAAGAAGATAAATATATAATATATGAGAAATCAGCTTATATTCCCGTACAGGAACTCGTGAGTTGATAGGCCAATTTTTTGGAAAATTTCTTCTGGATTTCGGGGTCTGTGTGTTAATATAGTGTCATCCTAGGTATAATCCTCCACTCTTGCATTCTTTGTTGTTTCGGAAACTTTTTGACCCACTAAATGAGATATTTCAGTGTATAGATTTTCTATTTTGTTCAATTAGATTAGAGGATTGTCTCGAAGGGCTCAATTTTGGGAAAATGATGTATTTCTCAAAGCTTTTCTAAGGATTGGAAACAAAATATAGACAAACCTTTTTTTTTCTTAATTTGCCTTCACATAGTTTTTTCAACTATGGGTAATTTCACTGTGGTGGCTTTTTAGCTATAATACCCTCGCAGTTAGGTGAGTACTGATAGAATCTGAAGACTTCTCATAGAACAATATCCAAATACGGCCCAAAGTATATTAATAGCCTTGTCTGAATTCACATATGATATCTTTCAAATTCTTCTGCTATGATGTGAAGGATTTCTTGCTATTGTTCCCAAACTTACTTGATCTTCCGCAACTTCTTTGTTTGGTTTACTGAAACCAGATAAATTCCCAGATCGAGAGTAAAATTCGATGATCATTTCTTTTGGATTTGCATTGAATCGTTACAATATTTAACTGTCGGTTATGAAACCACACATGAGCTTCCTCTCTACCGTTTTTTTCATCTCCAAATATTTGCTAATATCAAATCTTGATATTGTATCTCTTTCAAAAGACCCGCTGTTTTGGTATCGTTCCGAACACATCAGAAAATTTTACATCGGATGAAACAGCAATTTTGGCATTTTATCTTAAAATCAGATGATATTAACTATTTCAATACTGTGAATATCTAGTGCTAGTTTTTTTCCATGTTATAAATGCTCTCGAATCTAAAGTGCTCTTGGATAGGGGGCAATATTTCCTTCTTGCTATCTGCTGTTTCATGTTGTGCTATCATTGCATCATGGATGATCCTCAAGTTTCAAACACCACTCTCGGAAACTGATTATATCCTCAAGATATCCAATTTCCTCTCCGAGGACCCTATCCGGGATATACACTTTGAAATCCCCATTTTTATTACTTCTTATGATAAATTCAAGTTCCTCGACTTGGCAGAAGCCACTCAGGTCCAGCTTGACTACAAGCTTGGTCAGCTAGATCTAAATTTCCAAGGCTATAGGTTTCTGCTAATTAACAATCCGTATATTGAAGAAATTGGAGACTATCAGTATGCTAAATCGATCAGAGAAAACCAATTATACGAAATTAGACTATTTCTTGGGGAATCAGACGCAATATATACTGATCCGTTCCAAAATTTCGCGGTGTTGTATCATACCATGGAAACTATCAATAGTAATGATCTTCCTTATTTCATCACCCAACTCATTATTAATAGCTTCTTCAGTGATGAACTATCGTTTTTTCAAAAAGGAAATCTTGCAGGAACAAAGGACTTGGAGACTTATTTCGCCATGGGGAAATCTAGCGTTGACAGCAAAGTGAATGTTAATTTCATAATATTGTCAGAAAAAAAGGTGGTTGGTGTTGAAACAAAAGCACATGAGGTCCTTGAAAGTTATATGAATACTATCAATTGTATCTATGACAAAATCCTTCATTTCGATTTCAGCTTAGAGGTACAGCGAACACATACCTATGCAATCGATAGATCAGATGTATGGGATTATGATCAAGAATCCCATGTAATTTCGTTAAATGATGATGTCACCTATGTTGACATCAGGGATGATTTTTACCAGGAAGATCCAATAACGTTGAATGATTTTTCCAACTTTAATTTCTTATTTCCAATCCCGGGGGATTCGAATCTTAAAGTTCATCCTCTATCCAATTCTTCAATTTTCAAATCATCATCAACAAAATCTTTATTTTTCATCAATCATGTACCGGAAGATTCTAATATTGACAATGAATATTTTGTCGGTATCGACCAATTCAATAATGTGCTTGGAATTGCATTATTGAACCTATATTTATCGCTTTCTCTCCCGGATCCCGGATATCAAACATTAAGACTTGATCTACTAACCCGTATTACTATTATCAAGAGTCTCTATAAATTTTCAGGGTACATGAGGCAGATTAGTGAAATTCTTAGGCTTGATGGAAAAAATGTCAGGGCTGTGCTACTGACAGAAAAGATTATTTATCTTCTTGAACTACGAAATGAAGCAGTAAGGTTGGCCAGCGATAACGCGACAATCAGCTTAGAGGGCTTCACCAATGCTTTGAACCGCATACTTTTGGCAAATATGGAAGCCAAAAAAATTATAGATGTCTTGCTAAATCATCATTAGATAAAAAAAAACAAGAAAAACAGCAGAATATAAAGGTTATATCGAAGAGGTTTTCCTCTTACGTGTGTATATGAACCGTGTCAACGGTGCTCATGTGACTTTGTTTACATTTTTTTTTTTCTTTACCTCCAAAAAAAAATGAGAAGATTTGTTATGTACGGTACAATTGGATACGATTTGATTAATAGCAAATATAATAAAAAGAACAATGTCGACAGAGGAAGATTATTCAAAATTGCCTCTCGAAGATAGATTGGTCCATAAGGTAGGTCATTTTTCTATCATTTATTTTGGCTTCGTTTGAATATATTCATATATAGATATGTACTTCTTTGTTGATCATATTTGTGCTCAAATCACTAACATCAGCAGATCTGGAAAGTCCGTCTAGGGGCGTACGACGAGCTTCTGGATAATTTTGCCAAATCAGCAGGAGAAAATGACACTTGCTTTGCTGCCTACTTATCTAACCCTTCGCTCTTTAAGAAAATTGCTGGTGATTCCAATGTCGTCGCGCAAGAATCAGGTATCGCGGTGATTAACAACTTCCTTCAATATTGTGGACCAAATGCTTGCTTGAAAATCCGTTCGCAAGTGGTTGCTCCATTGGTTGAGAAAGGGTTGGCATCTTCTAGAGCCGGGTCGAAGCTGAAGACAATTGAAGCATTGCATTTATTGATTGAATTGGATGAGCCGACGCCCGTCATCGAAGAAATCACGCCTTATTTAAAACATAGACTACCAAAGCTCGTAGCAGGTACTGCGAATGCATTATATGAGCTTCTAAAGAGTTTCGGTACAAACACAATCGATCCTAAATTTATTTTGCCTCATTTACCAAAATTATTTTCTCATGCCGATAAGAAAGTTAGAATTGAGGCCACTAATATTGCCATCGAATTGTATAAATGGATGGGGAAATCAATAGAGGCTTTGCTTCTCAATGATTTGAAAGTCGTGCAACAAAAAGAATTGTCCGCGGAATTTGAAAAATTGGGTGATGTTAGACCTCAACAGACCAGATTGTTAAGATCTCAGCAAGAACAATTATCAAGATATCAGAATCAAAACAATAATAAAGGAAATGGTGAGAATCAAGATGATGACGATGTAAATATGACAGAAAGTGGGTCTTCCGAGGCTGATCCATTTGATTTGGTGGCGCCAACTGATGTATTATCGAAGATCCCGGCCTCTTTACCAATCCAAATTAAATCCAGCAAATGGAAAGAAAGAAAGGAAATATTAGAAGAGATCCAGCCATTATTCAAGGAGTTGAAGTATAAATTAGATGATTATTCTGAATTCATTAAAACCATGGCCAAGTGTATGAAGGATGTTAACTTGCAGGTGGTGCAATTGGCAGCAGAAATTACTGATAGTTTGGCTAAAGGTTTGAGACTGGATTTTAACAAATACTTACCGTTAATTTTCGTTCCAGTTTTAGAGAGAACCAAAGAAAAGAAACCTCAAGTTCTTGATCCTCTATTGAATTTATTGGATACAATGTTTAAATATTCATCTTTATCGATAACATTAGAGGATACCATTGGTGTATTACAAAAGAGCAAAATCCCCAAAGTAAAAGAGGAAGTCCATAAGTTTCTCACTAAATGTTTGCTGAAAACTCCAGTCATTCCTACCCAAGGTGAAATAGAGATGATAATGAATCAATCCATTAAGACCTCAGCAGATAGTCAGGCCCCAGTTCGTAATGCTGCTCAAGAAACTATTGGTACCTTGATGAAAGTAGTTGGTGAAAGACCTTTAAATCAATATATGGACAAATTTGACGATATAAAACGGAAAAAAATCAAAGAATTCTTTGAAAAAGCTGAAGTTAGCGTGAAGCCAACTTCCGCGGTCAGTAATAATGCTGCTAAGAGAGCACCAACCGGAAAACCTGTTGGTAAAAAACCACCATCCAGGAATCCCTTGAGTGGAAACCCTCGGCTATCTATTGATAAGATATCTCCCCCGCCAACAGTTGGTATCGAGAGTGGGTTGAAAAAGAAAAATATGGCGAGCATACCGAGTAAAAGAGAAGCTAGCTCTCCTTTGAAAAGAAATGACGTTAGTTTAAAATCAAGCAGGGGGTTGACTTCCATGGTGATCAATAAATCACATAATGGATCGTCATTGACAAGCAAATTGGAAAATGTGGCATTCAACAGTAACTTTAGCGCGATAAGTGTTGAGGAATTGAAAGAATTGGAGCAACTACGCACTGAAAAACAATCGTGGGTAAAGCAAAAACAGGAATTACAGAATTCTCTAGAAATTTCTAGTCAAGAGAAAAAGCTCTTGCAAACTGAAATGGAATCCTTCAAATTGAGGTATCAACAACTTGTGGACGAAACCACGGGGATAAATTTGAAATTAAAATCCAAGGATACCCAAATATCTAGATTGATAGTTGATTATGAAAAGTCGCAACAAACATTGTTTGACTTGCAAGAAAAATATTCGCAATTGCAGAAATCAAAAAACAGCATATCAAGAATGAGCATGCCTTCGACATCTCAATTAGCAATGAACTTTTCTTCGACACCCAAATTTTCTAATCTAGATAAGAGTAAAAGAAATAGTACCTTGGGGATTATGACCAAGAGTGGCGGGGGTTTTGGTCAACCAATAGCATTTTCAAAGCAACATTCAAGGCCAAGTCATTCACCAACTCCTCCATCAAATCATTCACCAAATCAAGAGTCTGGTTTACCGTCAAATACTAAATCATTGGCCAACGATATAAATACTGGGGTAGGGAAACTCACAATTGAAGAGAAGGAAAACACTGGTATTTCTCGAAATAAGTCTCTGTCATTTAGAAATGATCCAAGACCAACGGGATTAAATACGGATAATGATGAGGAGTGGAAACGGGCAAACGAAGTCACGATAAATTTGAAAGCAAGGATTGAAAAGATGAAGTATCGCTCGAGAAATATTTAAATTATGGAACATCTAAAAGAAGATTCTCTTTTTTTTTTTTCTTTTTTTTTTCCTTTTGTTGATTACAATAGATTTAATATATATATATTAATTTATACTGACGCTAATATCCAGTATTTAAGTGATTTCTAAAATTGTGAATCTATAGGATCAGCTATTATTAGTAACTTCTATATTTACAACCATAATATAAGACCATTGAATTATTTGTAAAAGCAAAGAAACTTCTTATAGGCATACTACTGATCATTTCTTCTTTTTATCGGATTGTTCCTTCAAAGACTTCATGACCTTCTTTCTCAGATTCAACATGTATGTGAAAAGAACATAAGAGCCTGGAACATATGTGAGAAGAGATCCAATGAAGAACCATTTGTACCAAACACCAACAACATTATCAGCGTCGGTTAATGAATTATAAATGATCCAACATTCACTGGAGATCCCCAATGGGTACAACGGGATGAAAGTTGAGTATCTCAACCACACCAAGAAATCTGGGGCGTTCCCACCAGTCTCGATATTAATGGCATAGAACGAGTATCTAACAATTTCTGTGATCGACCAAGCAATGGATAATGTCACATAAGCGAAGCCGTAATTAATTTCAGAATTAGGAAGCACCGTGAATACCCCAAGCACTACCAAAAGCCGGGAGGACACTTGGGCGATGGTGGTGAATAGTGGCGCACGGACGTTGCCAACCAAAGAATTGTATATTTCGACGGCTGCGAAACATTGGATCACTGTTAATAACCGGGAAGTCGAGGTGAAGAATTGCGGCTGGCCATAAAACGCAGTGAAATAAATGGTATTACTGAGCACCACAAACCACAATGTTGCACTAAGCGAGTTGTAGTGCAAAATCCAGCGGGGTTGCTTCTTTTTAGTGGAGTCAGCACCCTTGTTTTCTGGTACTTTCTGTTGTGTTTCAGACATTGTTGGTGTGGTGTATTTGTGATGACTTATGAGTATTGTTTATATTACCAACATTTTTGAGGGCTCTCTTTCCCAAAAAAAAAATATGTTGTGTGCCCTGGTGATGGTTTTTGATTGTAACAAAAACGGAGGACAAAAAAATTCTTTATTGTTATATATCTTTCTTGAAAAATATTATGATGCATAAATAATGGGATTTGGTAATAACAATAACAACGGGGGTTTTCCTGGTGACCATCGAGGAATTACGGCTAGGTCATCAAGTTATGATGGTGGTGCTGGATCACTGGAAATACAGGGGGGCATTAGCAATGGTACCAGAGTAAGTAATTCTTGTTCTTTTTCTGCCTCGCCAAGTGGACAGCAGTCTAAGTCAAATAATGACAACCGTGATTTGCGAATAGAGAAAGGAACTAAAGAATCACATATTAATACTAATTTAAGTAATCATAACATTGTCAGCAACGATAAACCGGAATCAAATGATTCCGGGTCATCGAAAAGAGAGACTGAGGAAGAGAAAAAAAAGAGGTTGAGAAGAGAGAAACTCGAAGCATGGAAGAAGAAAAAAGAGCAGCAAAAGGCGGCATCGTCAAAATCACCTGGGCCACCACTTGTTCTGATATCTTCTGTTACAGCAAAAAAACCTGTCATTCTTACTAAGCCCAAAGTCTTAAACGCTAATGGCTTCAAGAACCGAAAGACATTTGGAGTAAAGGGTCAAAAGGCGAAAACAACTATCAGGCTGGTGTTTGAAAACGACAGTGATAATGATAAACGAGAATTTAAGAGGCCAAAGATTTTAAATCGAAAATCTCTACCCATTGCTCCTAAATCTGACAATCATTCGGAAGATATTGACGTCCAAGATCTGCTTGATGAATTTTTGGCGAATATGGCGGACAGCTCAAAAGATCTGCTGGTTGGAGAAGAGCTTGAAGTGGTGGCAGATTCTGATGAAGAGAATTTGGCCAGCATGGACGATGATAATAATCACAAAGAAAATGTTATGGATATCATCAGCAAAATGAAATCTAATAGCTCGAAGGAGAAAAAATTATGTAAGGTCGACCACAGCGAAATTGACTATCTGGACTTTAGGAAAAACTTTTACATTGAAAGCCAGGAAGTTAGCGGTTTAGATAAAGATGTGGTTAATATTTTGAGAATGGAATTAGATGGTATAAAAGTCAATGGAATAAACCCCCCAAATCCTGTCCTCATTTGGTCACAATTGGGTTTGCCCTCTCACTACTTGGATATCCTTGTGGATGATCTAAAGTTTGAAAAACCAACTCCGATTCAGGCACAAAGTATACCAGCAACTCTCCAAGGAAGAGATATTATTGGTATTGCCAAAACAGGATCAGGTAAGAGCTTAAGTTTCATCCTTCCCTTGTTTAGACATATCAATGATCGAAGAAGTTCTAACATTAAAGATCCTTTGGCTATTATATTGGTTCCAACCAGAGAATTGGCGGTCCAAACTCATAAAGTAGCAAAAATGATTGATGCTACGGTGAAATCAATACCTTTATTTGGTGGTGAAAATATATCAAAACAAATAAGCAAGCTAGCTGGGGGAATTGATCTAGTAATTGCCACTCCTGGACGATTAATAGATTTATTGTCCTTAAAAAAGCTATCCCTAATACAAGTAACTTTTGTGGTCATAGATGAAGCAGATAGAATGTTTGATATGGGCTTTCAGCCGCAAATCAGTATGATCCTTGATTGTATTAGACCTGACAGTCAAAAAGTATTATTCAGTGCCACGTTTCCTCTCAAACTAGAGAAACTAGCTAGAAAAATTTTGAATCGTGACCCCTTGGAAATTAAAATCGGTTTGAAAGGTGTTAATGAAGATGTGAAACAACATATTGAAATTTTTGAAAATGAAAATCAAAAGTTTTTAAAACTATTGGAAATTCTTGGTCATTTTTTTAATCAGGGTAAACCATTCTTGGGATTAGATACCTCAAGTGAGGACAAAGTTTTAATCTTTGTCGATAGACAAGAAAACTGCGATTCTCTTTCAAAAAGATTAGTAAATAAAGGTTATGAATGTGAGGCGTTACATGGGGGTAAAAACCAAGCTGAAAGAGACCAATCCATAAACAATTTCAAAAAGGGTAAGAATAAAATATTGATTGCAACCTCAATTGCTGCAAGGGGTTTAGACGTTCTTGGATTAAAACTAGTAATCAACTATGATTGTCCAAACCATATCGAGGATTATGTCCATAGAGCTGGAAGAACTGGGAGAGCTGGGGCAAAAGGTATAGTTGTCTCATTTTTGATGGAATCACAAGAGAGAGCAGCATACGATATCGCTAAAGCGTTGAAATTGTCCAACGTTGAGGTGCCTACCCGGTTAAAGGACCTTGCAAATCAATTTCTACTTGGAATAAAGAAAGGAAAAGAGAAGTTCTTCATGGGATTTGGTGGTAAAGGCTTGGAGAAACTTGAGGCTCAGAGGGACGAGAAAAAAAGGCTAATCAAGCAAAAATTCGACACTGGAGATGTTGGGGCTGATGTAGATGAGAATACTAAAGTTAATGAGAAAGCTAGTGAAGCTGATAGTAAAGCCATTGGTAGCAAGTTGGCAGAGATATCGGACTTTGAAGTCCATGAAGGCAAAGCTGAGAACTCTCCAGACTCTGGGGCGTTCCACTCTAAAATTAATGTTAACGACCTTCCCCAAAATGTTAGATGGAATGTCACGAATAGAGAGGCCATCCGAAGAATTATTGAGGATACAAGCTGTTCGCTTACTTCAAAAGGTAGGTTTTACAAAGACTTGGATAAGCCAATTAAGGACACTGATGAGCCCAAGTTATATTTACTCATTGAAGGTGATACGCGACATCAAGTTGCGAATGCTGTAAACTTGATAAAGGAATCGATCATCCAAGCAATGAGGGTTCATTTGATGGATGAGGCAAAGAAAAGTTCCACTGGGCGTTATACCGTTGCTTAATATTGAGTCTAGTTTAGAATTACTATATATATCTACAACATATATTGCCTTTGTTTGCAAATATACTACGTGAAATGATCTTATTGAATGAATTGTTGTACTAGTCGTACTTGTACACTTTTTGCTAACAGCACCCTAGAGTGTTAGTAGCCATAACACCATTACTTCTAACCCATATTTTCGTACTTTCTATTTATTTTACTTATTCTACTTTTATTATCTCTCTACTATTTTTAGAGATAGATCACATTATTCAATTATTATATTTTACTACGTTGTTAACTTTATTAAGTTATTGTTTGTATTAATCCAGAATTATCTTAAATCCGATATTCTCAGACCCTATCCGCCGCTACCACCGACCGGATAGATCAAGCCATAATCGCGCGAAGTCGACAATAACATTGTAGCATAGTCACATGATATTGCGGAGACATTTTTTTTATTGTTATCATTTTGGCAGCCAGTTCTTCCGGCGATCTAGATTGATTGTAGTGGTCCGCAACATAACTCTTTTCAATCATGCTAAAGAGATTATTCAGCACCACTACCAAGGTAGCAAAGTCTTCTTTTGTTCCATTGGTCAGCTCTACGGGGATCCTCGATGCCATTGGCAACACTCCTTTGTTAAAACTCACCAAGCTTTCTGAGAAGCTGGGTAGAAATATCTATGTCAAAGCAGAATACATGAATCCAGGGGGTTCAGTCAAAGACAGAGCTGCTAAGTACGTAATTGAGGATGCTGAAAAGAAAGGGCTTCTAAAACAAGAAGGTATGGTGGTCGAAGGAACAGCAGGAAATACTGGGATTGGTCTTGCCCACGTTTGTAGAGCCAAAGGTTATAAATGTGTCATCTACATGCCAAATACCCAATCACCAAGCAAAATGGACTTATTGAGATTATTGGGAGCCGAAGTACATCCTGTTCCAGTGAAACCTTTCAAGGACCCGATGAATTATAATCATCAAGCAAGAAGGCACGCGGAAAGCCATCCTAATGCAGTATGGACCAACCAGTTTGACAATCTTGCCAACCGTCAAGCGCATATTGAAACAACCGGTCCAGAAATCCTCAAGCAATTGGATGGGAAAGTACATGGTTTCACTTGCTCTACAGGTACCGGGGGAACTTTTGCTGGTACTTCAAGATACTTGAAGTCTCAATTGAAAAATAAGATTAAGATAGTTGTCGCCGACCCTCCAGGATCTTGTGTTTATGCCTTTGTCAAATCCAATGGCAAGTCATTGGACAACTCTGGGTCCTCATTCACCGAAGGGATTGGTCAAGCCAGAATTACTGAGAATTTGAAACCGGACATAGAAATTATTGATGACGCGGTTAAGATCCCGGATGCGGAAACCATTACCATGTTGTATGAGTTATTGGACGCAGAAGGTCTCTATGTGGGAGGAACTTCAGCTTTGAATGTTGTGGCAGCCACGAAAGTGGCTGAAATGTTGCCGGAAGGTTCCAATGTGGTGACCATTGTTGCAGATTCCGCCCACAAGTATGCCGACAGAATATTCAGTGTCTCTTGGTTGAAATCAAAAAAATTGTTTGACTCAATTCCTGATAATTTGAAAAAGTACGCTATATTGAAATGATTTAGTCACATTTCAAATTGGTTTTTAGTGATGATACAACACTGGGTTGAAACCGGTAACTTTTGAAGTACATTTGTCAGATATTCATGATGATATTATAATAGGCATCGAAATCAGTTATGGCTCAAACAATTGTAAAGTAAAATACCATTTTTTCTTGAACTTTAGTCATCAGAGAAAACTGGATACTATATTGCAATAACCCATGAAGAATCCTATAACGTGATGATGTGTTTTGTTCATGAATATTATTGGATTCTTTTATTACACACCTTTTTGTATCTCTCCTGATTATCTTGTTGAGGGTTTTTGGGTGGATATTTCATGCAAATGTCAGTAACTAAATATTTTATTTTGAATATATTATTAGAATTGTATTAAGCTGTCCATGACGCACAACTTTCTAAAACTGAGTTAGCTGCATATATTACCACCTAGGTGGTATTTGTTAGGTGTATGTGTCAGCATATGACTTCATCATACCATAGGTACATGGACATGCACGAGAGAGTGGCAACTTCTATCAGCATTGGAATTATCTGAGCCTAATCGTTACTCTAATCTCTATTTATCATCTCTATTCTTATCTCATTTATGAACCATATAACATCATCAGGTGACAGTTATTGACTGTATTAGCACACATTTGTTAAATCTGGCTAATGAAGTCTCGTGCTTATAACCATAACTTTTTGTCAGTTCCAGTGAAATCACATTGCTAACAGCACTACCTAAGAGTGGTAGTTACACACGAAGATCCGAGTCTAAGGATTAATAAGTACGACTAATCAGCCAATCAGAGTTATCCTGATACTGGAGAATATTGATCTTCAGAGATTTAAATAATTATATATCAGGGTTCGGAAAAAGTCCCCAAAAATTCGCCTCTTTGAAAAATACACATTTGGGCACTTTTTTTATAGTGTAAAAGCATAAAAAAAGTGCCCAATCACGTGTTCCTGCATACAAGCTCATGGCGAAAGCTAAGAGCTTTCTAGTCCACTACATTTATAACTGAGGGATTGTAGCAAAAGTATATTGTATCTATAGGTTAATTCAAATCACTCGTTTCCATTATCGAACCAATGGAAGATACATCCATTAAATTACCTGAGTATTATTCATGAAAAAGATTGATAAGAATGTCACACGTCATTTCATAGTAAAATGTTTGACAAGAATGTTACGCGTACTTTTGTAGACATCGCCCATGACACAGAGAGAGCCAATAAAAAGAGAATAAGATATGTATCATGTGATATTATGGTGCACGTGATTGGTACTTTTTGTTATTGTCGACTTCGCGCGATTATGGCTTGTAGTAGGGTAAGATCTATCCGGTCGGTGGTAGCGGCGGATAGAGTCTAAGAATATTGGATTTAAGATAATTCTAGATTAATACAATGTATACAGTGTTTTCATTTTTTATTCGTACCAACCACCGGAAATGTTCATACCAGTGGCAAAAAATAATTCATACCGACCCCCGGTATTTTTCGTACCACCACAGTGGGATTTATTCAGACCATCTAAGAAAAATAGTTCATACTATTGCACTTCAATTATTCATACCAACAGAATATAAAATTCATACTAAATGCATAAAATTCTTATGCTTTCATTAATATTTTATCTTTGATATTATTAAACATGTTATAGGGGACCCGCACACCCAATAAAGCCCCTTTGCAATACTCATTTACCATTTCAAAGGCTCATAACCAAATTTTGGAGTGGTTTCGTCCTTCCTTAAAATTTTAAATTTTCATCAATTTGTTTTTGAGCCTTTTTGTGTCTTTATGTAATTTTTTTTATAGTTTTTACTTTTTTTTTTTTGGTTTGTTTTCTAATTTTTTTTCTTCATCTTTGGTATTTGTTTTCAAAAGAGCTGCTGTTGTAAACAGAGATCAAATATTTCATACCTTTGAGCTCCTCGTTATTTTCTATTTGCTGGATACTTTACAAAACTGTAGAAGTGATTAGCTGTAGTACCTTTACTCACTTTGTCAATGGTCGTTTCTGAATCAAGTTTTCTCTTCTTATTGGATGTAGCCACTGGAGTTCTGACCTTTAATTCAATACAACCTTTGACAGAAATTGCCCCAATGAACGAAATATTAAGCCCTCTGGTTACGGGAACAGTAAGAACTGCTTTTCCACCTACAGCAGACCATACATACTCACGCCGCATACTGATATTGAAACCTGCTTCGTCGATGAAAATATAGTTTTGACTAAAGTCGAGCTTGTCTTTATACTTCTCTGCCCTCTCGAGTCACTGTAGCATCTTCCTTTATCAATTTTTGAAGGAATTCCTTATGCTCACCAGTAAGAAGGGGCTTACGACCTCTTTTCTTTGTTGGCTCCGAGATACCATTTAATTCATTAACAAGTATTTTGTTCCAATTTCTTTTCCATGTGTAAGCAGTTTGCAAAGGTATATCTTCTAATTTTGCAGCCTTGTAAGCTGACACGCCTTCTTCCATGACCAATTGCCAAAATCTTTGTTTGACAGCTTGATTATAATACCGGTACGAACCTCTATATCTTCGTTCTTTCATTTCAATTTCCATGATATCCAAGATACCTGGTTTTTCAAAATGCTTATAGTCACTGTAACTAAAGCAAGCTTCAACTGGTGCTATTTCAGACTCTAAAGTCATTTCACTGGGTTCAGCATAGAATCTATTACCTAGGCCATCAACATACCCATCAGTTAGTAGCTTGGCTTTCAAGTCCATACTTAGTTTTGATGGTAAAATCTTATGCTTTTTTTTGTAAGTAATCTGATGATCACATAAAGACCGAATTGAATGTCAAAAGTGGGAATTCATCATCTTAAATGGAGAACAGCTCCTACCATACATTCGTTCCCATTTCTTGAAAACCGTAATCACGTGCTACTATTAATATTATTATAGATATCCGGTTTTATAGAAAGTAGCACAGAATTATGGAAAAAATGAGTATAATTTGATTAAACTGAGTAGCTTAGAGGCTTATAGAGCCAGTCACATAAAAAAAAGAAAGGAATTAATATGAATTTTATATACTGTTGGTATGAATAATTGAAGTGCAATAGTATGAACTATTTTTCTTAGATGGTCTGAATAAATCCCGCTGCGGTGGTACGAAAAATACCGGGGGTCGGTATGAATTATTTTTTGCCACTGACTGGTATGAACATTTCCGGTGGTTGGTACGAATAAAAAATGAAAACACTGTAACTTAATAAAGTTAACAACGTAGTAAAATATAATTGTCAAGACATACCACTCTGGTGGTATTTAATTGAACATTGATGATTAACGTCAGTTGTACCTACTAGACAATTTCTGCTAACTCCTCCAAGGACCCAAAAATGCATTTGAGTTTGGTCCAACATTCCTTTGCAAGAAAAAGAGAAAAAATATGGACGAGTTGGGAATTGAACCCAAGACCTCTCCCATGCTAAGGGAGCGCGCTACCAACTGCGCCACACGCCCTTATAATGTTACACTCTGCTTCTTGTCGATGATTGTTCTCGACCAAGAAGATTCAAATTATAAGGAATTATTTCCCCAAATCAAACACATCCTTCTTCAAGAATTTAACCACATTCTAACTGAAGGAAATTTACCATTCCACTACCGAACTATACTCTTTAACATCATACCAAAGCCTGGAAAGTCAAAAGAAAACATTGGAAACTATAGGCCGATAGCCCTTATCAACACTAATCTTCGATTATTATCCACAATAATTAATAATAGGTTGTTGAAGCACTTGCCTGATATCATAGGGGAAGATCAAGCTGGTTTTATTCCAGGCCGGTCATCGTTCTCCAACATCACCATTTTCAGAGAAATGTTAGATAGTCTAATTCATCCAAAAGATAAAACGCATATAATACCAAATCCACAAAAGCTGATACTAATTGTGGATTTGGAGAAAGCGTTCGATAGGATATCTCACGAATATATGGAACAACTATTGTCCCATTTAAATTTTGGAAAAAAATTAGCCAAGTTAATCATCAACATCCTCAAGCAGACAACGGGATCCTTATACATCAACAACATGACCGGCCCATTATTCAATTTAAAAAATGGTACCCTCCAAGGTAATCCGTTTTCCCCTTCATTATTTGCATTAGCAGTAGAACCTTTACTACGATCTATCAAACAGAATACCAGAGGCCATAGTTACCAAGGAGATTTGATACCTGAAGCATATAGCAGTCAACATTATCTTGCTTTTGCTGATGATATCACAGTTTTCCTCAAAGATAAAAGAGATTATTCCAAAACAATGAAATGTATTAGACTATTTGAAAAATTCAGTGGCAGCAAACTCAATGAAAAGAAATCCCAACTAATCATACCAACTGATACTTATCCATTTTTGACACCATTCCCATTTGAGATTGCTGATGAAAACTTTCAATTGACATATTTGGGGATAACTATTGGGCCATCAGTGACATTTTGGCCGGAAACATTGCAGCGTGACCTCTATATCAAGTACAAGTTATCAAACATGACCAGCTTGCTGATTCAATCAAAAATAGAAGCATTCAACACATATATTGCATCCAAGTTCTATTACAAAGAACTACACCAACCTTTGTTACCCAATCAGTTGAATCAAATTGACACATCGATTAAGTTATTGGTCAAGCAAGATACACCTATTTCTTTGGATACACTCAAGACACACAACAACAAAGGCGGTTTCTCAATGATTGATTTAAAGTCTCAACTCCAACACCGAAGAGCCAAAATTTTCCAGGATTTGTTTTTGGATAGTCACACTAAATATAACCAGATATTACGTTTTAAAATCCAATCAACTATCAATAACATCATTCAAAAAACATCACCAACAAAATCACCAAAGGATGAATATATCAAAACTCATTATTGGTGGGTGGTATTACTTGAACTAGCCGATGACATTGAGAATACCAATGATTCAATTTCCTTAGAAGTTATGAATAGCAGCACATTCTCAGATGCTGA